TTTTTAATATATACTTTTCAACTTTAGAATTCGATTCTGAATTATTAATTAAGACTGCTGATTCTCTTTCTGGACCAGACGGGGATATTTTTTAAATTTTGGACGTTTTAATTTGTAACAGTAGGCCTACCTCTGACGAATGTTCTCTTTGTTTTATACAAAAGTGCATCTAGCGCTACCGAAAAGGAAAGTTAAAATTTACATTTTACGAAGATCCTTCTTCTTCGATCTTTCTTATATATATATATATATATATATATATATATATATATATATATATATATATATATATATATATATATATAGGGGTCCATGGGAAGGGTTATGACCCCCCTACCCTCCCCTTGCCTACGCCACTGTGTGTCAAAATACTACGCGCCATGGTGCTCGTTGACTCCGCCTTCAGTCTGTTTTTCTTTCTTGACTTGATTTATTCCCATCGTTTTTGTCCAACCAAGAACAAATTACAATGCAGAAGTTGTTTGATATAGTTTTTTCTCTCCCAGATGGATTGCTGTCCCCAGCTAACGAGCCTAATCGGCCTGTGGTTCCGAACTCGTGACTTTTGGAGTTGGCCCAACCATGCCGCTCCCTACCTGAAGGTTCAAATAAATAGCTTCTAAACAAGGTGAATACATTTTGGTGGTGGAAGTTTTCCCAAAGACACTTGCTTAACTTAACACGTGCCCAAATGCGACATTATGCCAAAATGGACACTTGCAAGAATTCGACATTTACCCAAATGGACACTTGCCCGAATGCAACATATGCCCATTTGGACAATTGCACGAATGTGACATATGCCCAAAATGGACACTTGTCCGAATGCAACATATGCCCATTTGGACAATTGCACGAATGCGACATATGCCCACAATGGACACTTGTCCGAATGCAACATATGCCCAAATGTAAACTTGCTCAAATACGACATATGCCCAAATGGACACATGCCGAATGCGACATATGCCGAAATGGAAACTTGCTCAAATACGACATATGCCCAAACGGACACTTGTCCGAATGCGACATGTGCTCAAAAGTCACTTGCCCAAAGACCGTTACCCCGCTTGAGGGCACGTGAGAAGATCACTCTGCTCCATAATATCGTTGCTATGTTATTGTTGCTGAGTGGTTATGTTATTGTTGCTTAGTAGTTATGTTATTGTTGCTTAGTAGTTATGTTATTGTTGCTTAGTAGTTATGTTATTGTTGCTTAGTAGTTATGTTATTGTTGCTTAGTAGTTATGTTATTGTTGCTTAGTAGTTATGTTATTGTTGCTTAGTAGTTATGTTATTGTTGCTTAGTAGTTATGTTATTGTTGCTTAGTGGTTATGTTATTGTTGCTGAGTGTTTATGTTATTGATGCTTAGTAGTTATGTTATTGTTGCTTAGTAGTTATGTTATTGTTGCTTAGTAGTTATGTTATTGTTGCTTAGTGGTTATGTTATTGTTGCTGAGTGTTTATGTTATTGTTGCTTAGTAGTTATGTTATTGTTGCTTAGTAGTTATGTTATTGTTGCTTAGTAGTTATGTTATTGTTGCTTAGTAGTTATGTTATTGTTGCTTAGTGGTTATGTTATTGTTGCTGAGTGTTTATGTTATTGATGCTTAGTAGTTATGTTATTGTTGCTTAGTAGTTATGTTATTGTTGCTTAGTAGTTATGTTATTGTTGCTTAGTGGTTATGTTATTGTTGCTGAGTGTTTATGTTATTGATGCTTAGTAGTTATGTTATTGTTGCTTAGTAGTTATGTTATTGTTGCTTAGTAGTTATGTTATTGTTGCTTAGTAGTTATGTTATTGTTGCTTAGTAGTTATGTTATTGTTGCTTAGTAGTTATGTTATTGTTGCTTAGTAGTTATGTTATTGTTGCTTAGTAGTTATGTTATTGTTGCTTAGTAGTTATGTTATTGTTGCTTAGTAGTTATGTTATTGTTGCTTAGTAGTTATGTTATTGTTGCTTAGTAGTTATGTTATTGTTGCTTAGTAGTTATGTTATTGTTGCTTAGTGGTTATGTTATTGTTGCTGAGTGTTTATGTTATTGATGCTTAGTAGTTATGTTATTGTTGCTTAGTAGTTATGTTATTGTTGCTTAGTAGTTATGTTATTGTTGCTTAGTAGTTATGTTATTGTTGCTGAGTGGTTATGTTATTGATGCTTAGTAGTTATGTTATTGTTGCTTAGTAGTTATGTTATTGTTGCTTAGTGTTTATGTTATTGTTGCTTAGATCATCACTTCTGTTATAAAGTGATGATCGGGACAGGGTCGACGGAAATGAAATACAACATACACAAACGATCCAATTTAAATTATCACAGGACGGCATTGTTCATTTTCATCTTTTAATTTCATACAATAGACACGACTACATCGACGACGACATGACGAAGACTTCCACACACTCACGCGACAAGACCAAAACGAAGACTAGCTTCAATTATTTCCTTTAATAACCAAATCCTATCCTCGCACGTCACATCCTTACTCGCATCGTCACATTCACCACAGAGGCGTAGCGACCCTTCCCGGCGCCCGGGGACAAACTTTCAATTTGGTGCCCCCCCCTCGGGAACAACCTTTCAATTTTCAATTTGCACCCCCCCCCCCTTAAACTTTCAATTTACACACCCCACTCAAACTTTCCATTTACACCCTCACCCCCCCCCCCCCACATATATATTTTATATTTATAGTGCAAAACTACAGCTAAAATGATATTTTAATTTGTTTTTCCAACACATTTTGGCGGCCCCTAAGGTCGGCGCCCGGGGACATATGTACCCCTCCCCCACCCCCACCCCCCTCGCTACGCCTCTGATTCGCCATCTTTTATTAATATATCACATCATTCCACTACACACATACTCCCATACCCATTCAATACACCATTCAATACACCAAGGTCCATTCACAACACCCTCCTTCTGGCTGGTCACAGGTAGGAAATCACTTCGCACGTTACTAGTTTACTTAATGTTGTTTACATAATGTTGTGTACATAATGTTGTTTACATAATGTTGTTTACATAATGTTGTTTACATATTATTGTTGTTTACTTAATGTTTACATAATACTCTTAGCATAATGTTGTTTACTTAATGTTGTTTACATAATGTTGTTACATAATGTTGTTTACTTAATGTTGTTTACTTAATGCTGTTTACTTAATGTTGTTTACTTAATGTTGTTTACTTAATGTTGTTTACTTAATGTTGTTTACTTAATGTTGTTTACATAATGTTGTTTACATAATGTTGTTTACTTAATGTTGTTTACTTAATGTTGTTTACTTAATGTTGTTAACATAATGTTGTTTACATAATATTGTTTATTTGACGTTGTTTACATTATGTTGTCTGCATTATGTGTTTACTTAATGTGGTTACATTAAATGATGTTGTCTACATGATGTTGATTTAAAGATGTCTTTATTTACAGTATGTTGCTTACACATATCTGTTTACATAATGTTGTTTACTTAGGTGTGTTACAATTGATGTTTACATAATGTTGTTTCAATACTTTAGTTTATATAATGTTGTTTACATGATATTGTTTAAATTATGTTGTTTTTTTTTTTGCTGTCATACATAAACAAAACAATCAGAGGTTCTAGCGGTGTGATATTGTTTACTGTTTTTATTTTTCAAGGCTTGTAGATCTACATACGATAGTTTATACACAAAAGGTAACAGTTCAAGTAGTTACACGAGCATCTGTCCAGTTCTACTGACCAGTGGTCGTTCTGGTAGGTTGAAAGAGCAAACACCAGGTGTTCCCTGCTTTCATGAGCCTCTAAAGTTTAAATAAATTACGTTATCTCTGGAGTTGTTTTGTTTTACTGTTTAACAGATTCCAACAAAATACCTCTCCTCTAATTAATCTGTTATAACGAAATGGGATGAGGGGGGGTTATCGTGAGCAGAATGCTACATTTGAAAGCCACTGATCCCTGATTTTTCGATGAGTATTAACATTTAAATATTTATTTTAAATAATCCTAACAAAAGTATAAACTCAATCGAAACGATGATGAGTTTTGAAGCATTTGTCGACAGCCTAATATGTTTTACAGGAACGTAGTTCTTTTTCAAACAAAGTATTGAAACATTTTGTTTATACAAGTAATCTGAAGTTTTACAGTAGGTTATGTTTCCATTCGTCGTTGAAACGTAATTTATGGATATTTTGAATCAGAAACAAATCATTAGTCGATTTCATGATAACCCCCTCCCAGTCAACTATTTTTCTAAAACATTTTAAATTACTTCCTGAATGTTTAGTTGGACTTTTGTCATGGAAAAAATCCAATCCACTTTTATCTAGTTCGAATGTTCTAATGATCGGAACAAATCGTTGTGTATGTCGAGATCTTCGATGTAAAGCCGAAAATATGAGGAGAGGTCTTGGATGTGTGTGTTTTGTTTTGTTTTTTTGCGGGGGGGGGGGCGTTATTTGTAATGGTTTTTGTTTCGTTATTTGTAATGGATATTTTTAAAAATTCCGAATAAAATATTCCAATTGTCTTTAACAAAATAGTAGCCTGAAATATTAGTTTTAATGGTGGCTTCTGGTAAACTCGAAACATTTCAAACTAAATTTCTTTGAGTAACTTGATGAAATATGTATGATGAGCTAAGCGCTAAAAGTTCTTGTCACAAAATACATTTTTGAGTTTGATTTCACATATTTTTTATTAAAGATGGTGGATTGAAAGAGTTACTTTAATAAATACTAAAGCGTTTTAAATATTTGCAACGGATAAACTTAAACTAGATAAGCAAGGACCATTGCTTGGTTTGATATTCACAAAATTGTCACTTAAATACTTTTAGCACTAAATTCTTTGTGTTTATTTTTAATAAAGAACCACAATTCTTCTACCCACCATTGCGCCTCCCCAACAAACCAATACTATTTTAAGCCAAGTTGTCTCCCTATAATTTTTAAGAGGTCATGCAAAAAATAACAACACATCGTCATTTTTTAAAAATAACTAACAAACGAAACAATCAATACATTTTAAAATGGAGTAAAATACTGCATACACCGTTCTAAACATTAGTTTTTATTAGACTGAGATACAAATAATACTATCCATTCGACTTCACTGTGCCCAGTACACTTGAGTACCCTTTGTGTTGAGAGGAACTGGTTCATAACTTTTTATGCTTCAAGCTATAGATCAGAGTTTTTAATAAATTCCACCGAAGCCTCCGTAGCCGCCTAGACCTCCGTAGCCGCCGAGACCTCCGTATCCTCCGAAACCTCCAAGACCTCCGTAGCCTCCGTAACCTCCGGCGCCGCCGGCACCAGCTGAGCTGCCGACAGCTCCGGATCCGGCAGTGTTGGAGTTGTAGGAGAAGCCGTTGAGGGAGGTGGAGCTGCTACCTTTGTTGAATCCGCCTTGGTTTCCGTATCCACCGTATCCGCCGTAACCTCCTTGTCCACCGTATCCACCGTAGCCTCCAAGGCCTCCGTATCCACCGTAACCTCCAAGACCTCCGTATCCACCGTAGCCTCCGTATAGGCCGGGGTAGCCGTAGCCTCCAAGTCCACCGAATCCTCCGTAGCCTAGTCCACCTAGTCCACCATAGCCCCCTAATCCGCCATAGCCTAATCCACCATAGCCTAATCCACCATAGCCCCCTAATCCACCATAGCCTAATCCACCGAGATGTTGGGACATAGCGGTGGCGGCAAGGCAAGCAAGTATAACGGTGGCCTGAGCGAAAGATCCCATTCTAACGATCTGTAAAGGAAAAAAACATATCGTTCTATTTATTGATATTTACAGCATACATATAATACAATCAGATTCATTATTAGATTATCAAAACACACAAAGGAAGGTACTTATATAATACTTCCATTATTTTTTAAATTAATTTTGTTGTATATGCAAAAACAGAAAACAGTTGTAACAGGATTTTATATATATCAAGACTAACATAAACTATACGTAGTTCATCCGTTATTTAAAGGGGGTAAAGGCTCAGAATCAGGTATTAAACGGTAAAAGGAAAAGTTTTGGCCCAGAAACTACAACGATCGTTATAATATTCATACAATGAGTTGTTTATAAATAGCAGATTTTCCAAGTGGATGAGTACCCAAGTCCAGCTGCTTGGAAACAGTAGAGGGTCAGTCTCAAGCATGGACGACATGATGACCTAAATTGACCTCCCAGAACTAACCTAAACAAACTTAATAGACCGCACATTCGAAGTGTTGAGTCCTGTATACATGGGTATAATTCGATTATCCTACAGATCCTTGTTAGACAACGACTCGTATACCTTAACCTTGCATTCCTTATTTAAGTAATTGCTTTAAAAATCATTTCCGTCTGTAGTTAGTAATGGTGACCTATTATGCAAAGTATGCTTAAAATTCTGATAATTATTTTGTTAAATACATACTGATCCAAATGAAAAAATATGAGTGGGACAGGTTCTATTCTCATCAGGAATACCGTTCTGTTTTTATGCGAAGATAAATGTGACTTTTTTTTTTCAAGTTAGATACGCTTTTGTTTTCTTTGTAAGTACTTCAAATCTTCAAAACTTTTAGCTGATTATGATTATTATTAGCTATAAATATACTAGATCTAAATTAGTCTCAACAAAATTACTCTTAACTTGTTGATTTTTAAACTTGAATCCCATGTTTAAAGAAATTCTGTATAAAATGTACAGAAAATGAAACAAAAATACTAAATCTAGAAGCGTTACAAAACTTGATGGTTTTATAAATATAATAATTTAAATACAAATAGTTCTGTAAATATGTGACCTTTAAGTTAAAAGTTGATATTGTTAAAAGCCAAGTCTTTTTTATTTTATAAATTACTGAATAATTTTTTTTTTTACTTTTGAAAAATCTTTTTTTTTTGCAAATTATAACTTTCTCCTGTTAAAAAAAAATAAGTAAAATACTTTTCATTAAAATATTTATTATTTTTACTTATTATTTTCATGTAATATTCTGCAGATTACTAACAGAATTCATAAAATAAATTTGCTTGGTGGGCAAAAACTACGAATAGCCTTCTGAGAGATATTTGTAGTTAACTACGAATAGACACTATCAAATTAAATTACTTAAGGTATGTTTGTATTAGTAAAAAAAACTGCTATCAAATACTTCACTACTTACAGTAGCGATGAAGACAGGAGTCAGCTATGCAGTGAAGTCTAGTGGACACAAAGCTCAGTATGCCGTGACGGAAAGTTAGACTCGACCTCTTTTATACCCAAACCACTTGGACCTCCTTCCCATGTCCACGTCGCCTACGTCCGGCCATCCATCACACCTTGTTAAAGAATTCATCCATTTCTTCAGGCGGATGATACGCAAATCAATCCGCCCGCGGGGTCTATTTTTCATGCGGATTGAGTATGTTTGTGTACGCGAAAGACCGAGCCCCTTAATCTAAAGAGGGTTAGTTGAGTTAGATACAATCCCCTGCTTCCGCAATTCGGACAACCTAAGTTACCTGTAGAAAACACGATACGCCTGGGGTCTCGTTGTGAATCGATGTATTAGTTTACGTTACTAATTAAATTTGTTAATTATTGCGGTTCTCAGACTGTAACATTGAGTAATTAAAACAAATTTTAAACTTAATTTACTGTGACAATTTTTTAGTTGTTTTCAGTTTCAGAAGAAGTTTTAATTTAAATGTGTTGTAATATGAAAAAAAAACGGACGGAAATAAATATATTTTTCTTTTAAATTGGCGTGAGTTGATTTCAAGGGTGAATGACAATAATGTAACAACCTGCTCAGATTCCTGAGTATTGAGATGGGCTAAAGTTGTTGAAAGACAGACTTTTGTGACTCAGGTGTGATGTCAAAATAACTGGGACCACCTCATATGGGGGTGATGGGGGGGGGGGGGGGGGGGGGGAATGGGTAAACATTTTGTTTTAATACTCGCTCCACTTATTATACGTGTCATGGGATCCAATAATTATCTCAGTATAAAAAATATTTAAATTAGTTTATATGCTATTATTTTTATCAGTTATATAATCAAAATTAACAATGTGTGCAATGGATTTACCGTTTTATCGATCAGTTATTTTAAAAAATATTAAAATTAGTTTATATTATGCTATTATTTTTATCACTTATATAATCAAAATTAACAATGTGTGCAATGGATTTACCGTTTTATTGATCAGTTATTTTAAAAAAAATATTAAAATTAGTTTATATTATGCTATTATTTTTATCACTTATATAATCAAAATTAACAGTGTGTGTAATGGATTTACCATTTAATCGATTTGTGAAATAGAGAACAGTGGATGACGCCTGACGCCTGACATAATTTGAGAACCGTTATTGGAAAACAAATCTATAATTAGCTTTTTAAAAAAAAATTAAATATTAAATTCGGTTGTACCTTAATAACTTGTAACATTTCAGGGATATAATGATATTTAAAGTAGCCCCGTGGGACCTAGTCATCATTTCTCAGCATTAACGGGGATTTTGTGGGATAAAGACTAAATAGATTAAAACTCTAGAACAAAATGAGAAATAGGGGCAGGGGAGGGTATACGGCTCAATCTATAGCAGGTCGATTAAATTATTAAGTGGATAGAGGTCTAATTAAGCTAATGACGAATAGTGTTTGGGTGTTGTTTTTGTGGATATGTTGTTGTGTACTTTTTTGATAGTAGGAAGTTGGGAAAACCCCGAAGCGTTTAATGACTTTAAAAAATGTTGAAAACATCATACAAGAAAATATAATTAATGTAAAGAAGTTTGGATAAGGATGTTGTACGTATTTTAGTATTAGCTAACACAACAATGTTTTACCCACCCTCTCTAAGTTTAAAGAACATTGATATAGAAAACCACCTCGCCTAGCTTAGAGCGTTTCAAGTCACCCTCAACCCCCCCCCCTAAAGGCATAGATTTTTTTTTAAAGTCTTTATTGCTTTGGGGGAATAAATTGCGAACAAGAAAGGGTGGGGGGGGGGGAATTATTCCTATTTTTTTCTTGTTTCAACAATGCTTATTACTAGTTAATTTACTAATAAACTATTTCTCAATTATTAGATAGGTAATAAAACAAATATAAAGCCTTTATAATAAAAAGCTTTTAAATTAGCTGAAAATAAGAAAATGAAACAAAGTTGCTCTTTATAATAAAAGCTTTGGTCGTAAAATATGTAAAGGATCTCATGAGCGACGACCTTGGATGTCTTTTTTTTTTTGGGGGGGGGGGGGGGGTATTTGTAATGGTTTTTGTTTCGTTATTTGTAATGGATATGTTGGTTTTTTTTTAAATTCTGAATAATATAGTCAAATTGTCTTTAACAAAATAGTAGCCTGAAGTATTAGTTGTTTTTTTTTTTTAGTTATAGCTAAGGAACATGGAAGATCTATGTTTATTTTCTCTTTTTAGGGCATTTAAATTTTTTTATTATGAAGTGTTTTTCCCCCTTTTTTTTTTATATTTATAATCTCTGCCGGGGAAAGAACCGTCAATCAAACAAATGCTCTGATTAATCCTTTCTTTTCTGCTGGTTTTAAGTGATCTTTATTTAGTCTGTCAGTCGCAAGTTTTTGCTAGCTTGGTCGTCCTATGTTCTGTTGTACAAGGGTTTATGCCTCTCGGCTTGTTTAAAAAATAGATTCGTGGGAAAACAAAACGTATTTGTTAGTGAAATAGAATGATCTGATCAAGTCAATTGAACGCAATTACAATCTAACCCTATTCTCTGCAGCATAACAGTAAAAAAATACAGTATAAAACATTACTTCGAACAGTGACAAAACAGAAAAACTGATTTACCACTTCTCTTTTAAGTTCGACCCCACCAATTTGTGTCATTGCATGTATAGATTAGCATTATCTAGTAATCTAGACTGATTTCAATGCGTTACCACGTTTTTCTATCGGTCATTTAACCCCCCCCCCCCCCCCCCCAGCAACATGAATCACAACATCTCACACCCCGCACCGCAAAAAAAAAAACACTACACCCTACAATATACCCTAAAGTCCACAGTCCACGACTCACATCCAACTACTTCACATAGCATAACCCACACCTCACCCCAGTAATCACATGACCCACACCTCACCCCAGTAATAACATGACCCACACCTCACCCCACTAATCACATTACCCACACCTCACCCCACTAATCACATTACCCACACCACACCCCACTAATCACATTACCCACACCACACCCCACTAATCACATTACCCACACCTCACCCCCACCAATAACATGATCCACACCTCACCCCCACTAATAACATGACCCACACCTCACCCCCACTAATAACATGACCCACACCTCACCCCACTAATCCCATGACCCACACCTCACCCCACTAAACAACATGACATACAACTCACCCCACTAGTCACATGACCCCAGTATTCACATGACCCACACCCAGTGGCGGAACTAGAAAAAAATGAGCCACTCCGCAAAAAAAAATTTGGGCCCCCCATATATGTATAATATATATATATATATATATATATATATATATATATATATATATATATATATATATATATATATATATATATATATATATATATATATATATATATATATATATATATATATATATATATATATATATATATATATATATATATATATATATATATATATATATATATATAAACACAATACGAACATAGGATACTCCTTTCTGGCCTGGTCGGGTATTGGAAAAAAAAATTCAATCAAATCTAATCACAACAACATGTCATGTGTATGAGCGCATTGGTCTGTTTTTTTGAAAATCTCTGTTTTCATTTATGTTTTATACTTCTAATCATTAAGTCGGTGAAAAGTGTATGAATCTTGAAGCTTTGTATAAGTAATGGTGTCTGGTGTTATGTTTATTTTTTTTTTATTTTTTTTGTATTTATATTATTAACTTAAACTACGTTTCATTTTTATACTATACCATTCTTTAGTACTTTTTTTTTAAAATAATAATTAAGATAAGTAATTGCTGTTTAATTTGATTATTACAAATCTATTAAAAGGAGCTTTTGAGCACCCCTATTTGACTATTAGAAAAAGGGAAATAATTTATGGAAGTGGTTTGAACGTTTGCCTTTCTTTCACACTACAGCTAATGTGTTTATTATTTTAAAAACATTTTTACGCAACGGCATGTGTTAGCTACTTTATAACATCACTACTGTATTAGATCTGTTATCTGTTTGTTATTTACAAAACCACTACCAAGGTGCCAGTGACGAAACTAATATATATATATATATATATATATATATATATATATATATATATATATATATATATAACACGCTATCAATCGTGTATTTATTTGAGACGTTTGCCTTGTTTTCTAGAACAGTGGTTAACATTTAAACGTAAACGATGTCGGCACTTTATTTCTTGGATCTTAGTTGTTGGGGCGCTACTTTGTCAACACTACCACCGATACGAGCCAGCTTAGTTGTTGGCGCGCTATCTATTCGCTTCTTGTAAGGCTAAGAGCGGGAGGGGAGGTCTGAGAAAGGAACTTAAAAGGGACAAAAAAGCACCGATGTGGTTTTATCCATCAGTACCAAATTTGGGATGGTCTCAAAAAGCCGTCTTAATATCTAGCGGCCTCTCGCGCAATTGATGTTTGTTCAAAATAATTTTGCCGACAACAGCGTGTGTTTGTAGGAAAAAGAATCTACAAGAGCGTGGGATGGTGTCTATAGAATAAAGATACTCCAATCGCAGCTACAGTTTTCTTTTTTTCAAAACAACCATCAGGTAAAAAATGCAAGAAAATTAATTTTAACTATAATTTTTTTTTATTATGGGCGTGTCGTGATGTAATGTGTATGAAAGGTGAATACGTGGAACGGGTCACTGCGTGTGTGTATGTAGCATGTAGTGAGACGCGAGGCCGGGTATGTTGTTGTACGGAGTGAACGAGGGTACAAGGGAAGCGACTGGTCGGGTGACAGTGGCTGTGTTGTGAGCGAGAGAAAGGTTGTGTGTAGGGATGAATGCGGAGAGCAGTGGAAGGTTGAGTGTCAAAGCAAGGAGGTTGATGTTGGGACTGGAGGACGGGAGATAGAGAAATAAAGAATACTGTAATAGCCTCAATCGTGTTGTGCATTCTTTGAGATCCAGACACCCTCACAGGGCGGTTGTGGGCCCTCTAAACGGCGTGGGCCCCCCCCCCCGCATTGCGGGGTCTTGCGGCACTGTAGTTCCGCCCCTGCCCACACCTCATCCCGCTATCACATCACCCCTGTGAAAATCCTGCCGATTAACAACAAAAAAGTCACCCACCACGCAACCATTTCGAAAAGTTACAAGGTTCATTACACCCGTATTTAACTGTAATTAAACCTGTCTTTAAAGCAAAGACTTAACATTCTTAACTTCGAATGTGTATAATAAACATGTTACAACAATAAAAATGCAATATCTATAACTCTCGATACTTTAGAAGTCGTATGCTGTTTCAGTAAAAATAATATGTCAGATTTCTTTTCTCATTCAATCGATGTTCCGGCTGTGACTTAGCCGGTAATTAAGAAAACTAGACTGACTGAAGAAATAACGACAGAAGCTAATGTCAGTGAAGAAACCCTAATGGAACTATCGGGAACAAAGCCATCATATATCGTTCTTGGTTCCTCTGTTACTTTTGAACAAATGCAGCTCAAAGAAATTATTTCCTTGCGAAATATTATAGGTTATCTATCCAAAATTTTTTTTTTAAACTTGGTTGTATCCCTTGCCGAAAGTTGGTAATCTCGGAGTAGGCAAAGATGGGAATGAAGGTATGGAACGAATAGGTCGATAATAAAATAACTGACTTTGGTACGAGTAGACAACAACAGCTTATGTATTTAAAAAAAAAAGATTTTTTTAATCATAAAGAAACTGCTGCACGCAAAGCTGCGCTTAAGATCCTAACAGAAGCCGAGGCAGCACCTATTGAGAACGTGTTGTTAAAGGCATTAACTTGTGATAAAATCATAACTGCAAAGATTTTTCGTACAACACACAAAGTAGCCAAAGAAAACCAATCGTTTCATAATTTCGAACTAAACAGAGTTGAGATGGGCCGTATTTTTCATTCAACCAATGCTTGCATAAATGTAGTGAATAACACTAGTTGTGGAATGAGAAAAAAAAATGTTTCAAGAAATTGTACGGTCGAACAATAAAATGTCATTGATCATCGACAAATCAACTACGCTTAGCCAAAAATCGACTTTAATTGTGTATATTCATGTTTTGCCCTCACCAGTAAATTTATTCCTGGATTTGGTAGAACTCGAAAGTGTAACCGCAAATGGAGTTTTTTTATCTTTACAAAACTGCCTGAATTTATATGGGTTAATAGTAGCCTTTCTAAGAAGGAACTTAGTTTCTCTTGCATGTGATGGGGCAGCTGTGATCTTGGGAAGCAAAAGAGGCGTCAAGACAATGCTGAAAAAAAATGTCCATCGGTTCTGGTTTGGGATTTTGCAAATCACTGACTGGAACTCTCCGTTGGTGATGTCGTAAAACAAGTTTCAGGGATCAACAGATTTAAGGCATTCATTGATTAACTGTATTTAGTTTATTATTCTTCACACAAAAATTGCAGAGAATTGCAAAAATCTGCTCGTTTGTTAGAGGCTAAGTTGTTAAAAATTGGAAGAATGTTAAGCACGCGTTGGGTGGCATCCAGCTTCTGTTTTGTTTTAGCAGTTTGGGAAGATTATGAAGTTTAGTACAACATTTTGATTTTGAAGAAGCAAAACTTAACTCAACTAGAGATCAATTCATGTGTGAAGGTTTGCAGCGAAAAATTTCTTCAACTGAATTCGTACTAGACCTCGGATTGATGTGCGATGCGCTCCAAGAATTGTCAGAGTTAAGTTTTGATTTGCAAGAGCGAAATATAGACATCTACAGAGCAGATCCAGGCTCTTATTATACGATTGCGACAACTGCTGTAGATAGTAACCTTTTCAAAGGAGTTTCACTTCACACCAAAAACTGTATCAGTGATCCACCCATTGACGAAACAACTTTTTACAAAAAAACTACAATAATCAATTGAACTAAAGGTTGCTACCTAGTGAAGATGCTGAGTTGGCATATTGGGCTCGAGTGCTCTATACAAAGCAATGGCCGGACAACATTGGTACTCACTTAACTTTTAGCGAAACAGGAATTAGAAACTTGTCAACAAAATTGCAATTAAACGAAAGAATAATGATTCGCGGATTTCACTAATATCTCATCGAAAAAAACATTCCGGATAAACTACAGTTGATGACAACAACTGTAACTTCACTGTTATTTATCAAATTAGTTGGACCACCACTCTTACGTTTTGGCCGGACAAGATACGTTGATTCATGATTACTTAAAAGCAGACATTCAGTAACAGATACCAACAGCAAAGAACGCAGACATTCAGTAACAGATACCAACACCAAAGAACGCAGACATTCAGTATCAGATACCAACAGCAAAGAACGCAGACATTCGGCAACAGATACCAACAGCAAAGAACGCAGACATTCGGCAACAAATACCAACAGCAAAGAACGCAGACAATCGGCAACAGATACCAACAGCAAAGAACGCAGACATTCAGCCATAGATACCAACACCAAAGAACGCAGACATTCAGTAACAGATACCAACACCAAAGAACGCAGACATTCAGTAACAGATACCAACAGCAAAGAACGCAGACATTCAGTAACAAATACCAACAGCAAAGAAGGCAGATATTCGGCAACAGATACCAACAGCAAAGAACGCAGACATTAAGCAACAGATACCAACAGCAAAGAACTCAGACATTCAGCAACAGATACCAACAGCAAAGAACGCAGACATTCAGTAACAGATACCAACAGCAAAGAACGCAGTCGGGAGTATACATCAGATGAGAACTTGATTAAACTTTGGAATTTATTATGAATGATTAATCAACATTTATATTTCATTTTTATTTTTAACGGGGTTCTTTTCTATAAAACACAACCGAACTTAACACATTTCTTTTAAGTAAATCAAGAATAACTTGAATAAGTTGTTAGTTAAATCTTACAAATCATATACTAATAAAGTAACAATAAATCTATTTAAGTTAATTAATTATAAAATTAAGTTGTTTTAGAAATTTAGTATCTTTACAGTTGTGATTTAGCTAGCATCGAGGTGCATGGTTGTTGTTTTTTTTTTATAATTTAATTTATAGTAACATAGCGACCAAATACTATTTTACAACGTTTAAATCCGCTAGAAGCTCTTTACTAAATTTGTAATCAAATTATTATAATTTAACATATTACATTGCAAAATATACATTATTTAATGATCAAACTGATTAAATGCGTAAATTATTGTATTAAAACGTTCAGTTGACGAAAAGAGTCAATGTGGCAAGCCAACCAGTTATGTTTGTTGATTGCTTTTTATCGCTTACTACACTAGCCATGGGTACCCGTTTCACGTAAATTATATTATAGGCCTATATATATTTTTACTGATATACTTATTTGGAAAAAAAATAATTTATAACATAGTTATTGGTCAAAACACTATGTGCTTTACTACACATTGAACGGTATTAGTGACAAAGCAAAGAAATAACTAAATATATAAAAATCCGACACATTTAAAATATCAAATGCCACATACCTATTACCAGTGTTTCTTCCATACTTTTTATTTTCCGGGGGGGGGGGGGGGGGGGGGGGGGCACCTGAAATTTCTGGGGGGGGGCGGATTCAGATGTCCGGGGGTGGGGCGGACAATGTTAAAAGTATATATTTTCTATGTAAATTCCATTCCATTTCGTTCGAGGGGGGGGGGGCAGAGCACCCACCCCACCCCCCGAAGAGATGCCTGGAAGAAACTCTGCCTAAAATTACCATTATATAAATCCACCTAGAAACAGCATTTAGGGACTTCACTCTAACAGTTATTAATTGAAGTAGAAAAATCATTGAATTTGTAGTAAATTATTAAATTATATATATTTTGCTATTTTCGCCTTGAAGTTACCCCTAAACGGTGTCATTCGGTGCGGTCCGCACCCTTCTCTTCCCCCCCCCCCCCCCCTCCCTCCCCATCTCGAGACGCCTCTGGATAGGCCTAATACTAGGACTGTGTGGTCATTGAAAATGTTATAGGCTATATCTTTAGGTGGGATGCGTTTGATTTTTTTAAAAATTCTTTTATTTCCTTATTTATAATTCGTGCCGATAACTAATAAATGCATACGTGACGATAACTAATATAGGCATACTTGACGGTTCTTTTTCTTCGGAGTTTTACGTTGAAGTGTGCACTAGGCGCATGATCTGTTGAAAAGCATTTGCCATGATGGTTGAATGCAAAGATAAAACAATAAAAACTAATAAATTTATAATAGTGAGAAAATATATATAAAACAATATTTTCTTTCTTTCATAAATACACAAAATATTTTACATGGCTTATTCTGTTTAAATTATTGATTATCTTTCCTCTCTTTTCATTTTAATATTATAATATGGTTTTGACATAAGTCGGCTCAACACATCTGTACAGTTTTAAACTGTTACAACTATCTTCAAAACAATGATAATTTTGTCACGAAATAATTTTTAATAACTGTAATAATAGAAGAATTAGATAAATAAGCATCAATTTTCTTATTTGTATTATAATGCGTTTGTGGTAAATTCTTCTTTAATCTTACACCGACATGTTTAATTTCACATCATAGAGTGTAGAAGCTGCAAAATATGGGTGCTCAAAGTCCAGTTTTATCAAAATCCAAAGTAAGTTTGTTTGGTAATCTATCGTTTTGGGTACGTAAAATCGCCCGCGACTAGTAATGTGAAAAACAGGTGACTCCTTACATTTTAATAATTAGTTCACATTTTGAGGAGGATTTATGTTTTAAAAATACAAAAATGTTTCCTTGTTTCATTTATGTACCTGTTTTTAAACAATTGAATTAAAACTTTTCAGTAATAAATGAAGACTAGCGATGTTTCCAACAGATGCAACCATGCTCATTTACTATAGCAGCCATCTTGTTAAAGTTTTATTTTTATAGACTTAAAGCGCAAGATTCAGGCGGAAGTCACTCTATTTTACAAATGGCTGCTGTTTATATAGCAAACCTTGCTTGTAGACACTGCTAGGGACTTTGAGAAAATTTTCAAAATGATTTACCTAGGTTAAAAAGCATATCATCTTAAAGAGCTACATCAGATTAAGACAAAACAGTTTACTTTTTCAAAATTGGACATTCCGTTTAAAAGTTATGATTTTTTTACTGAATTAAAAGTTACTATAGGATTTGGTGGTAAATTTCGCGGGCAAATTTTGTGTGTTCTTCATATAAACCAATGCCAAATCTCTATTACATGGAAATTTGTATTCAAATTTTCAGAGTTTCAAGATTAATATGTTATGAGGCAATTAAACTTAACATATTTGTAAAAATATGAAAGGGATGACAAAATGTGTGCCTTGAGGTGATGCAACCCCCCTAATTTTGTAAAGTGACTTTTTTCAAGTTTATCATTATTCTAAATCTAACAGGTTATCAATATCAATATTATGCCACAATCTGAATGTGTTAAGAGTCACTTAAGGGACCTTTAAGGGACCTCATAACCTGGAGCTTTGTAATGTAATTTTAGACTCATTTCTCTCCAACCGGTAAAGGTTCGGATATCGCCAAACATAAATCTAGACAAAAATAGACAGCAAAATTAGTTAAAAAAGAATTACTCCATTAATGGTATTAATAAAAACATATTTTAATATAAATTACATAGTAATTTACATAGTAATTTATGACCACAACACTAACAAAATAACAAATCGCCTTGAACAACATCAGTTAATAACTAATAAGTAATGTACTGTCAATAGAGGCGCTAACATTGTCATCCTACTCCTCTTTTATTTGCAATCCAATAGGCTACTCCAAGTGAATCTACACTTTACTGCTGACTTTTTTCTTTAACTTAAAAAAATTATACTTCTAAAACAGATCTCCCCCCTTTAACATTCCACTTATGTTTAATCCTCGCCCCCTCCATTCTACAAAAAAAGTAGATAAAATTTCCTGTCTCTAGCATCCTATCATGAAGTTATTCTGGCATGAAGATGACTTACAACAAGTTGTAGCATTATAATTTAGTTGTTCTCTTAATTGCAAAACCTATGCTGCTGTCTTCTGTGCATTTTTCTTGTTACTGACAAAAATGTAGAGCGCAAAGCCATCAGAATTCTGTCCTTCTGTGAACTAACAAGAAGCTCCAAGTCCTGAAGAGATTTGGAAGGCCACTCCATTTGAATTACTGAAATAACAAGAAATAAAAGCTTTGAATGCATTCTTTTTTTTATTATATGATACTAGAAAGTAATATGTTAACTTGTACACTCAAGTTTCTATATTGTTCCAAGAAAATGAAATGCTAATTCAATTTTGGTCCAACACTAAATATTTTGAAAAAAAAAAAAATATTGTCTTTTTAATAAAATATAATGATTGAACACTGTTAAAATATAAATATCAGTTGCAGATGCCTTGAATTAGTTGAGATTTCAATAGATACATAATAGGTATCATTGTTCTTAACCAAATCGGCCATTATCGATAATAGGTAACTATCGCCATTTGCCGATCGTCGGCTTAAATTTTAAGACCATGTTCACTTCGCGAGGCATTATCTAATTCATGCGAGGGTTAAATTTACAAAATAAAGACTTTATAAGAAACTTAAAACAAAAATCTAGGTGTATCTTTAAAAAAAAAATGACTATCTTGTTTAGATATTAAATAAATTAAATATTTATACATACCTGTCCGAGAAGTGTGAATTACTCGAAGATACGTCGATGGTGAAGAGAAAAAGTTTTAATCAATAGAAAGGTGGATTATTCCTAGGTCGATATTCATGACGATTTGAGTGAAGTGAATGATTTTTAAATGAGAATCTGGCTTTATACAGTGAGCTATGTTTTGCCTGACGGAAACCAGAATCAAGTTTGATACGGCGGCGGTAGCGCAGTTTCCGGCCCGAGATTTGACGGATATCGTAGTCCCTAACACTGCTGTTTAAAGTTAATTTCTGGCCTATATTGATATATTTAGCCATTGATTTAGGTTTATTATTCATTTATCTAGTTTTATTTGACACAAACATATCAAAATATACTTCTATTACAGCCTTGACAATGAGGTAACGTTTTCGTACATTAATAGCCGCGGGCGATTTTACGTACCCAAAACGATAGATTACCGTTTGTTTTTCTTTTGGACCAGTTTTTACTTTTTTTAGTTTTGGTTTAATTTTATTTTTAAGACTAGAATCTAGTCTAGTAACTACCTAACTAGAAATTTAATTCCAACAATTACTAGCGCCTAGATAGGCCTAAAAAACTAATCAATAGTTTCATTAGTTCGGACCTCGGGCTAAGTTAAGCTGTTAGTTACGGTTAGTAGTGCAGGTAGTACTGTACTGTAGCAGTAGTTAGTAGTAGATCTAGTAGTAGTAGTAGTAGCCTTGAAAATAAATTTTTGAGTATTTTATCCCAAAATCATATGAGGAAGCATTTAGAATTCCATTGGTACCAAATTTAGATTTCTAGCTTTACTTTAATAAGAGAGGAGGGGGTCAGCGTGGTCAAGTTGGTAAAGCTCATGGTTGCTAAACCGAAAAGTCTCGAGTTCGAACCCTCTGGCATATGAGGCTTGTTAGCTGGGGACAGCCACTCATGAAGTTTGATCTTGGTTGGACAAAGACTATGGAAGCAAATCCAAAAAGAAAAGCAGGCTGAAATCGGAGTCAATGGCCTCAATGGCGCACAACCAATTGACACTTATACTTAATTGTGTTGAAGGGAATCCCTTCCAACACTAAAATTAAGAATAAAGAATAAGAGAAGAAAAAATTTTTTTTTCTATTTTAAAATGTACTGTCTTTTTTAACTCTTTACAATTCTCAGGTTTAGTAGAAAAATATTGGAGTACACTGGTCTCAATTGTAAAATGTCCACTAGACATTATTAAACAAGGAAAGTATATAGTGTTATGCACCATTCTTTAGGTAATTGAATAGAGAATCAGCAGAGATTAAAAAATCCAATGTAGCAGGTATGGCCTTGAGGGCACAATTAATTAATTAATTAATTAAATTTGATTTTACTTTTTTAAAAACAATTACATGAAAAACACCAAGAACAAAAAAAATAAGCCAAGTCATATAATGAAACAAATTAATGTTTATTGGATAGATAAATCATTTCTGCATTCAAAAAAGGTGATGTGATGCATTTAGGACAAGAACTAAAAAAAATATACAATAAACAATAACATGACCTGTGTAAGGGGAAATAAGTAAAAAATTTATAAAAAAAGTAATCTGCAAAGAAATTAATATAAAATAGGATAAGGTTATTGATAACAAAATAAAAACAATAAGATTCAAGAAGATTCATGAAATTATAACAAACAGTTACTCTTTTTGTGAATACAGATATGTATCACAAGTGCGACACTTAGTGCTGACCCCCCCCCCCCCCCCCATATTTATTACTTATAATCCTGAATACTAATTGCTTGATCAACATACAACTGTGTATAATTACCTTCTACCTATGTTCTGCTGTTTACCTTTACTGAACCATTAGTTGTCTTAAAGCTTGACATCACAGACTGTTTTATTATCGCGCCACTCAACTGATACAATGTCACCCTCGCTAAACCATAGCATGTCACCTCTTTTTGAAACTTTTTCAAAAGACCTATCTTTTAGGGCAATAAGAAAACCTTTCCTATTTTTATAATTTTGCCACAAACACCAATTCCACATTTAAAAGATCTTTAAATAGTTTAAGTTTAGTGTACAAGTTGTCAAAAAATAAAAGATATACCTCACGCAAGACTGATTGTGACAATATGGTTACTACATCATAAGATAAGCCAGAGGTGGAAGTCTGTGGTGTCTTGTCTTCAAACATCAGCATTCCTAAAAAAAGAACTCATTTATAGATCTATAGTTAAATTTTACCACCTTTTGGAAATAGGTCTTGTAAGTCCACAGTGTGCTGCATAATGGTTGGTATACATAACAATTGTCTTCACCATATCCACTGTAAAATACAGCTTGACGAAATGACACAGGGCTCAGGGATTCCCTAGCAGCTCTTTTAGTTAAAATGTCCCCATTGACTAAGATGTGTTCCATGTTTCTTAGCAGGTTGGAATTTAGGATCTCTAGGTCCACCATCTACATCAGGATGCTGTCTTGGGTCTGAAATCAAAACATAAAATATATGTTGACTTGGCTAGATGATTTATTATAAATATAGGCCTAATACTTAGAATATAAAATTAAAATAATGTAATAGCTATAAAAACAAGAGAATATTGAAATACTTAAAATATATATTAGAAGCTAAGCAATTATAGCTAGTTAACTGTGAATACAAATCAGAAATATTTAGACAAAGCTACCAGATGCTAGAGCATACACTGTAAACAGCTCCTTAGCAACCATTTTTTTTTATTTACTGGTGTGAATGGTGCATTTTATTTTATTTTTATTTAATATTTTATAAACAGTATAAATACTTCATATTATATCGATATTTCCAGAAGAGGCTGGTGTAATTAATATGAGTGTTTGTTATAATGATTAATTTCATAGTGGGGCAATTTAATTAAAAATGTTCAGTCTTAACATTGAAAAAAAAAGTTGTCAACTCACCGATGACTGTCCCTATGTTGTGTTGAGTTATTAACTGAGATATTTCCCAAATCATCGTTTGAATCTTCGAATTCTGTTTCCACAATATCTTCATCAGACGATTCATCACAAAATCTTATATCACTTGCGGTGTTAAACATTTTATTTTCATTTAATTCGAAGAGTCTGTCTCAAATCGACTTCACTAAAAATCCAAAATGGCGAAAGCAAGGCATGCTCGGTTCAAGCGTTTTCTTTTGCTTTTTTCATAATAAGAAAATAAGTTTCGCATTTTATGTGTGTTTTTTATAAATGCTAAAACAATTAGGAAAATAATGCAATTTAAAAAAAATAAAAAAGCTTAGGGATTATTATTAAAAAATACACATTTCTGCGTCGATCTTATAAGAACGATAGCTAAGGGAGAGAATTGAAAAGAGTTAAGCTGTAAAAAAATGAAGCAAGGAGTCGGCGTGGTCCAGTCGGTAAAGCTCACGGTTGCTAAACTGAAAAGTCTCGAGACTCTCGGGCAGGTGAGGTTCGTTTGCTGGGGACAGCCACTCTTCTAGGAGAGACAACTCCAAAAAATCAAACAACTGCTGCCTTGTAATTTGTTCTTGGTTGGACAAAGGCATTGGAAGCAAAGCCAAAAAGAAAAGCAGGCTGAAATCTGAGTCAATGGCCTCAATGGCTCATAACCAGTTGGCATGTATACTTAATTGTGTTGAAGGGGATCCCTTTCAACACTAAAATTAAGAACGAAGAAGGAGAAGAAGCAAGTGGGAAACAAAAATGAAAATTTTATAAAAATGTTTGCAAAAAATTGTTGAATTCAATTGATAAATTATGAAACAGGTGCTTCTTTTATGTAAATTTGCTTTATTAATTGTGCAGGCTTGTTTCTGTTTGGTGGTATGCTTTATTTTTAAAAAGGTACATTTTTGCTATGACTAATTTAGTAATTATATAGGGAAAAAAAAACATGGCCAGTCAAGGTCTGAATCTTTAAAAATTTATAAAAAATTTATTTGTAAAATTAAACCACCAGTGGTTTATTAAACTCATTTTGTTGTTTTTTGAGCAGGCAAATGTTTATAAATTAAAATCAAGTTGATTTAGAGCATATAGCCTATTGCTTTCAAATTAATTATTTTTAAAGGTTAAAGGCAAAAACGAAAGAAAATGAAAAGTAATTGCACTAGGTTATAGCTGAACCTCAGTAGATTCTGAAAATGTGGTTGCTTTGTTTTTTGGAAATTAATATCATAATTAATTTTAAATTAATAAGAGACAGTGAAAAATCAGTTGAAGTAGTTCACATAGAGTACAAGGGGTATTTTGGCAGTTAAGTATATTATCAGTATCGTCCAGTGTGTCCTGCCATACGCCTTAGAATAGTATCACTATTATAGATACCATTTAAGATTGGATTTTTTAATTACATTTTTTTTTAAACAGCTTACTATCAGTCATGTCTACATGTTATTTGGATACTTACTAGTGCATCAATGCCAACATTATTGATAGTAAATTGAAATATTATTGCCAGCAAGGATATTAAACCCAAACCTGACCCCAACCAATATTTTCTATGTAATTTTGTATTAGGCCTAACCTTAATTAAATTAGGCTAATTTCTAACAATAAAACTACTTGGGATTACAATACTACTAACAATCTAAAATACATTTATTTTTGGAAGAGTCATTGGCAGACAAAGGTAGAATCATAACTCCAATAATTTCTAGAGAAAATATATACCTTTACCATTGTTGTCGTACCACCCCCCCACCCCCTTGACATTAAAATTAAAGCTTACCCACCAACAGCTTTCTACTCTCTGAATTAGATTTTTATCTATTTCTTATTAAAGTTTTTGGAGGCCTAAATAAAATAAGAAATTTGGCCTATAGGCTATGGTTACACTAGCTATGACTATTCACTATAGTAAGTAAAGAAGAGTAGGCTTGGCTATAGACTGGGAGTATAGGCACTAACTGCATAGTATGTATCATTTGGACAGAGGGAGATAATTTTCATACAAAAACCTACCCAGAGATCTTAAGACGTCTGTATAATTAGATGTTTTGTTTAACAAACACTTTATATTGTATCTTTTCAACTTGTGTAATGGTTTATACTATTTTGTCCTTCACAGAATAGAATATGAAAGGAACTAAAATGACAGAGCAGCAAAAATGCTGAATCCATCCAACGACAATGAATGCTTCCATTCTGAACCGTGGCCTGCTGATCCTGCATCAACTGAGCAGACTAATGAGAATGTATCAGAAATTGTGGCAGATATTGATTTAGAAATAGAAGGTGAAAAGGAGCAGTTACTTGGCTGCTCGAATAGTGAAGGTTCAAAGCGTAACAGCTCATCAAGTGCTGATCAAAGCACTGAATCAAATGTCTCCGCAAGTGGGCGTTCTCTTTTTAATAAATTGCAAAATAAATCTCCACTTTCACATAAAGAAGATAAATTAAAATTCTCAAAGTCGACTACAGAATCTGCTGCGGAACATGAAAAACATGTATCTTTTAAAGCCGAGGACAAGTATGCTCCCATAGAGGATGATGAACCAGAGCCTTTTGTTTTTGTTGCAAAGAAAGCCAGCAAGTTTGGTAGAGGATCAAGTAGTACTGACTTTTTTGGATATTTATTAGACGAAGATGACACAGATAGTAATAATGTACTCAAGTCTTCGCCTGACTCCCATAAATTCTCCCTTAGCAGCAGTCCAAATAAAGATGTTCAGGCAGTTCATGAAAAAGATGAGACGAAAATTTCTTACAGTCCGGTTAAATCTGAACCAGGAAGCCGGTCTTTTCTCAAAGACAAATTCGCATCGTCTTTGCGCAGCAAGCCCAGCAGTACACCGGTAAAAGGGAGTGAGAAATCTCCTCTGTTAGGAAAACACAGTAGTCCATCAAGTCCTGTCAGCTCAGTCAACGCGTCCCTTCACAGACATTCTTCCAAAGAGGACAGCCAGCTGGAGCATCTCCTGTCACCAACAAGGTCCTATAACTCTTCTGAGGATGACTCTCAGTTTCATAATATTTCTGAGGACACCGACCAGCACCCATCACCAAGTGTTCTGTCTGATGGTAAGTGACAACCAAATTTTTTTTTCTACTTTTAACTACTCTGTAGTTATATCTTACTAAACGATTAACCATTGATTTGTTCATTTACAAGTACAAATAAATTTTAATTGCCTGTAAAATTATTTTTTATTCGTTTTGTTTTGCTTGAGAAAATTTAATTCAACCTTGCTGTAAATGCTAATCCATCACATTTATCATTAAACATCTACATTAATTGCCAACATTCCCACCTCACATTTTTTACTACCTAAATAAATTTAGTGCTGGGTACAACTCATAATGTAATTTGTTGTTTAACTCCTGTATGTGTTACTATACCAAAATCTTGTCTAAGTTCTATAATAACTTTTCTACATATTACTTAAGTTGTTGTATTACTATGTAAAAAAAACATCCTTTTTAACAGTTTTGATTATTTTTCAAATATTAATGAACTTTACAAAGGCAATACAACTTGTGCGGTATATTAGTTTATGATTTGTCCTTGAGTTTCACATTCTAAGGCTAAAAAACAAATGTATTTAGTTTCTCACAAAGTAACTTGTTACAAAGGTGTTCTGGTTTCTCTAGCAGAAGCTTCATTTGACTTATCAAAACAATAGTACTGTATTACTTTTTCAGTTTTTACTACAGGTAATTGCTTGAAGGCCCTAGAACATTATTTTAGTTTGAAATTTAATTCTTTTTTTTTCTAATCTGTATCTATTTTTCAGTATTACAATCCAATAAAAACATCCTCAATATCTTTATCAGAAATTGTTAATCAGTACATTTTTAAAAATCTCTTTTTTGTGTGCTCAAATTGTGACCTTTTATTGATCTCATGGTGTGTTCATAGTTTCCAAATCCTCTGTAACTAAAGTCCTTATTTCATATGTGAACTCTACTTCCTCTACCATATTGATCATAAAATTCAAAATATATGCTTTACTTTTCTATGTCTTCAGTATGTATTGAAGTTTAAACACATTTTGAATGAAATCATGTTATGTGTTATTTTTATGATGTCTTATTAATAGCACAACATAATAACTTCCCCAACCTGAGAAGTGGGAAGTGTAGAAACCAGGTCTTAAAGTCCAGGTATTTTCACTGTTTGTACAGGTAGTTTCTAAAGGTTATTTTCTGATCTCATGTCAACAGCCAGGAGATAAATATTTCCTTCGCGCTTGAGTGAGTTTTCTCAAAGCAAGGAGTCTAGGGTTTAATGATCTGCTACAAGGCTATATAAGTACTACGCTGTTTGCAGATAGGTGGCTGGTAATCGTGTACCCAGCACCATAAATAAGTGTGTGATGTCTGTTTTTTTGTTTACAAGCTGATAAGGGGGAATATAGCAATGGAAAAAGCCTATCTCTTTGTTTAAACTCAGTATCATTTTTAGGTACTTTAAATTTTCTTTGAACAATAAAAACAGACTGCTACATTTTTTTAAAGTGTATTAAACTATTTCTTATTTTAAAAAATAATAAGGATATAGTAGCCCCTCAGTTAAAGAATAAAATTATTAAGAATATTTTTTCGGCAGTGATATTAAAGGCATGATGTAACTGGCAAAGCCTGATCTAAGCAGTAGTTCTCAGCTGAGGGACAGTATCTTAAATTGGTTGCTTTTTATTCTGAAGAGCGGCTGCCAGTTGTTAAATTTAAAATCATGGTTGGATAACAAAAATTAAGTTTACGTTTTTTTTTTCCAACTTGCTAGTCATTAACTGAAGTTAATATATGTATAATAAATGAAGTTAATATATGTATCTGTAGTCATTGCATATAAAAGAAGTGTTGGATAATTCTATCCCATATAATCTTGGGTTTACACCTAGACCATACCATCCCTTGTGATAATTAAATTCATGTTGCCTATTAATTTTTTACCTATTTCCAAAGAAAAAGATCATTAACTTGTTGGTTTCACTTTTTTTAAAAGTATATCAATCTACCTTAGATATAAAATAATAAGTAAGAAATAGAAAGTATGTAACCACATTGTAATTGTATACAGAACTTGAAAATGTGGTAGACAGTTGTCTTAGACTCATAGGCTCTAAAATATTAAAATATATCATTAGTTAATTACAATGGGACGGAGTGGTCTAGCGGTAGAGAGCTGGACTGCTAACCCGTAAGTCTCGAGTTCGAATCCGGGTTTAAGTCAGTAGACCGTCCCTGAGTCCACCCAACTCTGATGGGTACCTAACTCACGTTAGGGAAAGTAAAGGCGGCTGAGCATAGTGCTGACCACATTATCTCTTCATATGCCAAGGTCACAGAAACAAGTGAACTCTACTTCACTTGCCCCATAGACCGCCAGGTTTGAAAGGGAAACTTTACTTACTTTACTTAATTACAATAATCAATGACGTTTTTTTTTCTTCTACCAAAGCAGAAGGTGAAGGCGTCTGTAGCAAGTACTCTCAACTGTCAGAGCATGGGTCCTCAACCTCATCCCCTGTCACATCGGGGGAGAACGGAGATCGCAGGAATAAAAGTGATGAGGATATTGTCAAAAAACAGAACGGTCTGGATGGGAATAAAGCGGATGCATCTGCTGGATTCCTGGACAATCCCCTGCAACTGGGCATTGCCTTTAGTGAATTTGTGGATGTGGAGAATTTTAAGCGCCATCTTGGAACTCATGCTCCTAAAACAGGTAACTAATATAAGGTGTGCAGATTTGTGCTAGTTCTTCTGCTCAAGTGAATTCTTTATTTTCCCAAACTATACTCATAGTGCTATTCATCTGCCAATGGGGCGGACGATAAACAAGCTAATTTCATTAACTTGACCTCAAACATTGTATCTCCAGGGTTCTAAAGCTATTGTACCCTAACACTCAACTACGATGTAGTCAATTAACAATATCTTTTCTGAAATTTTTTTTAACTGAGAAAATATTTGACAATGTTATGTTATTTTGGATTTAACTCTTCAGCACAATGTTGTAGGGTAAATAGTGCATGATTGCTAACTCTGAAGTCCAGAGTTAGAACCCTCAGGCAAATGAGGCTTGTTAGCTGGGGATGGCAACCCATATAGGAAAAATAGCTCCCGAATCAAACAAGAGCAAAGTTAAGTCCCATAGACGATATAAATACCAAGTCTGATTTCCTATCTGCGGCATCTGCAATCCCAAACATTATGCTTAGCATTCCTTTGGGCTATACCAGCAAAGGTCATGAGAGAGATCAAGATGCATGGACAAGTTTTGATTTAATGCCTCCTACATGTCCTGTAAAGCGTTATGGTTTTCTGGTTGTATCCAAAACAAAGCCGTATGAACTTCTGATAGTGTAGTGTAGTGGGGTATAGGAGCTTCATTGGGGTGGCCTTATAGGGGACATGACTCTAAAAAGTGTGCTGACTCAGGTCCTTCATTACTCTAAATTATATAATGCCTTTATTTGACATAATAACATACTTGACAACAAGAGCAAAACAGCCTTGACAATCATTTGACAACACTAACTATAACTGTATGACAAGCACACAATAGCTTCTTTGTCCTTTATATACCTTCCTCATCTGTAACCACTTTCTTGATTGTTGTTTTCTATCCTATACTTCTATACTTAAGGAATTATCATTTCTATTTCATTAGATTAATTACAAAATACTAACCAAATTAGAAAATGGAAAAATTATATTTTAAAAGATATAGCCAATCCCAATGGAAACCTAAATGATAGGTTCCCTTTTCAAACCTGACAGTATATAGGGCAAGTGAGGTAGAGTTCACTTGTTTCTGTAACCTCAGCATATGAAGAGATAGTGTGGTCAACACTATGCCCACCCGCCTTTACTTTCCCTAACGTAAGTTAGGTACCCATCAGAGTTGGTTGGACTCAAGGACGGTCTACTGCCTTGAACCCAGTTTCGAAATCGAGACTTACAGGTTAGCAGTCCAGCTCTCTACCGCTAGACCACTCTGTCCCCTAACTAATAGTAGTTCACCTGAATGATGACTGTATTGTATAATCAGAACAATTGTATGGCTTTGACAGAGGACAAATTTGGTGGGAGATCAGAAGACCATCTTCTGGTCTTGTTGCGGAGTGGTTCCCACAGAAATCTCAAGTCCTATCTGAGAAACTCTCAGTGGCCAGCTGAGAGTGATGCCAGAAGGCGTTTATGGGAAAACCTTTGTTCTCATCTCTTTGAAAAGGATAAAGGAAATTTGTACAAAGAAATAGCCGAAGAAGTCTGCGAAGAAGGGGGTTAGTGCACGTTTTTTAAAATCTTCTTCTGAAATTCAATTTCATAGTTTTTATTTTCCTTTTATTTTTCATAAAATAGATATTGCAAAAAGTTTTCACCAAATTTTGTTTTCTTTTCCCTCTACTTAAACCAGCAGTTTTAAAAAATGTGTAATGAAAGTAAGATAAGCATCATTGTTTATTACTGTAATGTTTGTTTAATGAAAAAATGTAGTCTTAAAACTTAAACAGAAAATTTAGTTCTTGAATTATTTTTGTATCTGAATGTCCGTTCTAAGCTTATTGTGTACAGTATTTTAAAGTTTTTGATGTTCATTTCCTTGGTTTTTATAATATGTTATTACAACTTCAATGAGACTTGGCTACAAAAAATTATTCCTGTTTCAGTTGGTGACGACATGGTGCTACCCACATTTCTAGACCAGAGCCACCTGCAGACGTACTTCCTGAACATCCAGGGCGTGCGATCAGTTAAAATCATCATGAATGTGATAAGTCGACTTAGTCCAGATATTATCTACTGCCCAATGCTGTACCCCATGTCTTCCCTGTTTCTGCACTACATGTCCCCCGAAGCATGTTTCACCTGCATGCAGGTGCTCCTCAGTGCCAATAGCAAGAAGCAGAGTTTGTTTTTCCTCACGCAGACCAAAGTGAAGACAGAAGCTTCGAAGTATGTCCTGTTAGACTTGGCCAAAAAATACACTGTAAGTTGGGCCCTTAACCAGTGTGTGTGTGTGTATATGTATGTGTATATATATATATATATATATATATATATATATATATATATATATATATATATATATATATATATATATATATATATATATATACATTCACACATATACATAAATAGACTGACACATTCACCAATATAAAAGTTTTACCTATGTTGTAATCATTTACAGGACATTTTTTTTTAACTCTTACTGTATTGTATTGTGCCCCCTTGTTGCTTTCACTTATGTTTCAACTATTGTGTTGCTTTAATCATTTGTTGTAGTAACTTTTGTAAATTGTTTGTTTAGAATGCTCCCTACAGTGAACCCACTCTCCATTTACAACAATTATTTGTATGGGTTATCATAGCCATTAGTGTTAACTTTTAGTTAAGTCAAAATTATTTACACAAAAATGTGTTGTACCCATTTTGACTTTTTTTTTTTTACCAAATTATCTCCCTTACCTACATCCTTCTAACGATTAATACATTTTGATATAACATTTACAAATTTAAATTGTTTTGTTGACTTTACAAAGATAATGTAGAGGAGCTCAAATAGTAGTGAATTAAATATATTTGTTTAAGAGGGGGTAACTCTGTTGATACACATACTGATAACAGGCCAAATGATTTATTGTTCTCTTTATATCTCTTATCAGTCTAATAAATAAAAGACTAAACGTCATTCCCTTTATGTTAAATATTAATTCTAAAAAGTTTAAAGTTTTGTTTGTTTTCAAACCAGGCTTACCTATAGCTTTTTTTTTTTTACAGAAACATGCTTACGTACTTATTGAAAGAAGCAGCCCCAAAAGCCCAGTGGCAGTACTTGACAATTGGATGTGGTGGATATTTAGAGATTTGCCGTTTCAGTATTTGGTCAGTAGTGACATCAGAAGATACATTTGTTGAATTGTTCTCTACCTTGTTGCTGCTAACATTAGTGTGTGTGTGATGATGATGTGGGACTTGGACATTACCCCCATCTCCACCCCCACCCAGCTAAAAAAACTGCATAAGGACATTACCCCATTTCAACTGCTACCGGCCATTATGAAATAATAAAGATGGGGATAGGTTGATAAGTTTGGGATAGGGTTAGGGTTCATGATAAGGGTGGGAAAAAGAGTAGGGTTAGGGATATGGTTTTGGATTGATATTTATGATAATTGATAGGGTTAGCTATCTGGGTTGATACTAATGATTGATGATAGGGATTAGGGAAAAGGCAAAGAATGTGGTTAAGGATAATAATAGAGAGCAGGAGATGAATATGTAGAGGTATAATGTGTATTCAAAAGGAAGTAATTGATGGGTAGGGGGGGGGGTGAGGTTTACTGACCCACCTTCACAATGTCTGTTAAATTTCTTTTCTAACCATCTGTTAATTTAAATATTGAAAAATAAGTTCATTTAAAACACTAGATTTTTTTAAATACTTCCCCTACAACACAGCCACTTTTAAAAAACATTTAACAATAAATATTAGAGTTGATCACCTGCATATGAACGGGGTATTTGGTCACCACTATGTCCAGACACCTATGGTAGAGTACACAATTGTTAGCCAGAAAGTTCTGAGTTGGTTTTCCTGAGTCAACTCAGCTCTAAAAAGTACTTGATTTGAGTCAGGGAAAGTATAAACAAAAGTAGCCTATTAAATACAATAGAAGGCTCTTTAAAACAAATGTAGTTGTTCATGAGAAGCATAGCCTGTACAAAATAAAAGTAGCCTGTTTGAAATAAGAAATACCTCTTCAAAACAAAAGTAGCCTGTTAATAATAAAATTATCCCTTTAAAACATAACATACTGTATGTTAGTTTTTTTATTAGTTTTTGGTGGTTCTTTAAAATATTGTTCTATTTACAGGTGTGTATAATTGACAGCTACCTGCTAGAAGGATACAAAGTTTTCTACCGGGTAGCTTTGGCTATAATTTTTCTTTTCACTAAAGATTCAAGTAAGTACCAAGCACCTTTATAATTTTAAAGTAACATAAAACACATCTTGACATGAGCTAGTTGTTTAATCTCAACAGCTATGTTCAAATTTTGTTTTTCTACATTGTGTTTAAAATTCAAAATTCAAATTTTATTTTTAAAGAAAATGACTCAACACTAATTATATAAATATTATATATAGTTGGTTATATTTTTGTTCAATTGAAAATAAAATATTTGAAACATTTGTTACAAGCTGCTGCAAATGGTAAAGTGAATTATTTAACATTTATTTATTTTACTATGGGTTTGGGGAATTTTAAAAAGGTTTAAAATATGAATATTGTTGGTTTAGTTAATTATTTAACATTTATCCTATAATTGGTTTTGAGTATTTAAATTGCATTAAAAATGCATGGCATTCTTGGTAAAGTAACTTATCTAACATTTATTATTACACATAGGATTTTTAATCCACTTTTGTAGATAAAGGAAACAAATGTTATAAATTATTGTAGGTTTATTATATAATAATTAGTTTTTAAAATTAATTTGCAGATAGACGAGGAAGTAGAAACTCACCTGTATTGAATTTAGGTGCTGCCATCGCTAGGTTCTGTACCAACATGCCATATGATTCCAAAAAGTTAATCAAGGTAATTTTAAAAAGCCCTTCTAAACAATCTTATATTCTTTATATATTTCTTATTCCTTTTCTTCTTTGTGTAAGGCTGATGTACTTGATTTACCCACTTGCATAGGGCAGAGTTTACTTTTATCCAATTTCAGCAATGTGGAAAACTTAGTTCAACTTTGCCAAATACTTGTTTATAAAAATGTAAGCTACAGGTGAATTTAAAAAAAAAAAAAATTCTAATTGTGTGCATAATTTATAACTAGTGTATGCAGAGACAAAAATACATTATTAAAAAAAACTCAAGGATTAACAAACTTGGGTATTTGCCATGGGTATTACTTGTAGTAAACTTGATTTAAATAGGATTTTAAGTTCCTGCAAATGTTTCTGACTTAAAACTACAGATGCCAAAAAAAGTTAACATTGTATATTCTGACTTTAAATCTGCAGACAAAAAAAAACCAATTCTTTACCTAATTAAGTTTTTAAACATACTTTTCAAATACTGAGACTTGTTTGTAACTTCTAAATTTTAAATCATCCGTTTAGGTTGGATTTGGGATTCGGGGGTTGACGAGAAAAGAGATCACTAAACTTCACACCAAACATGAGACAAACATAAAGAACCTGCCAGTCAAAGACACAATGTCTAGAATTGTAACTAGTCAAAGCATGGCCCAGCTTGGCTTAGCCAGGCCTTTCAAAGGTCAGATGACGGCCCAGCAGTCTTCGTCAGCTGTGTTGACAGCAGAGATGGTAGGTTAGGGCTGCTTTTGGCGCCCTTGTCAGAATTTTATTTTTTTTAATTGTTTGAGGCAGAGCATTTATTATCCTAATAATTCTAGTTTTTAAATTGAATAATTTGAAGCATTATACATACAGTGCTTGTACAATCCTAAAGTTCTATTGTTAACATTCCCAACACTTGACTCTGTGGAACACTGCTGAGTTTACCCAGCTCTAATAGGAACCTGGCTTAAGTTGGCAAGGTCTACAGTCTGAATTTTCACTAGTCACAATGTAGGGATGTTACTTACTTACTAATTACATGTTATGCTATTTTAATTAACAGAAATGTTTATTTCATTTATGACACCTGGCCTTTGTTTCAGTTTATATTGCTGCTCATAATACAGAAAATTTTCTGGGTTTTTTCACAAACAGCCTCTGTTGTTCACACATACCAATCATTAAAAAGAAAAGAAAATTCCTACCATTTTCTTTACTTTTTTATTCCTAGCTCCAGACCATATGGACGTGGATCCCTTTTCGCCTAACCCTTATGAGACCCAAACTGCTATTTTCATCTGACGAGGATGGTACAGCACTACGTACACTTTACCAAAAAACAGAACATGCTCCTCAAACTGTTTTAGCCATCAAAACTACAAATAATGAGGTAACAGCTACTCCCTGTTCTCAGACTTACAACTAAGTTTTTTGCCTATTGCTGTGGTACACTTTCTTTTACTTCTAAGATGATGAGTTTCATTACGAAGATTAAATTAGATTTACTAAAAAGGCTAAAAAGGTTTAAAATATTTTGACTTGCATGTTTTAAATATTTTAGATTATTTATATAGTTATTAATTTTTTTAAATTTTCTAACAAAACTGACTTCTTAACATCCTTTTCCTGATACATTAAGACCAGCTGTAACAAAAAATATATTCCAAAAAAAACTATTAAACGCAATTATTTTATGACCATCTAAGGTCTGGTAAAATGAACTTGATGCTTTTAGTTCTTCTAATTCAATTTCAATACATATCATAAGTGAGTAAATTGTCATTTCTTTTATCTGCGCTTTAAATTTTGTTATATTTATACATTTGTTTAAAAGGACACTTTTCTTTCCTTAAAAACAGCCAATCTTGTTTTTCATTTTGTCTTGCAGGTGTTGGGTACATATTGCTTGTAATGTTACTGTCGATCTTTTTTTTCCCAGGTGTTTGGTGCATACTGCTTGTTGCATAACTGTCAATCATTGTTTTTTTTCCCAGGTGTTTGGTGCATACTGCTCAGCTTCCTGGCACACTAGACATGAGAAAAACAAACCTCATTTATCATTCTTTGGCACTGGCGAGACCTTTGTCTTTACATTCCAGCCTTGTCCAATAAAATTTCCCTGGACAGGCACCCTAGGAGACAACGCACCAGCGCACCCAGTTGACCATTTCATGGCTGGTGATGACACTATGTTAGTTGTTGGCAGCGGGTAGGTAGTTTCCTTTTCATTATGTGTGGGTGGGTTGTTTCCCTTATATTTGCAGTTACTTCCCTTCACATAGTCTAGCAGCAATACTTTATGCTAGAGAATTCTGGGTTTTGTTACTTATATGTTTTACAAACTTTGTATTTGTAACTTGAATAGATTTTATTTTATTGTTTATCATAATAAGTACATCTTTTGACTATTAATATTAATGGGTTCCTGACTAAAAAAATTAGTAAAGTTAAGTCTGTACTTGCTCACAATATATGCATGTTAAGTTGCATAATCTATCAGGTCTCGAATGGATTAATATGTTATTACAATTGTGGTTTTATGTTCTATAGTAATTTAATAATAGGTTTGGCCAAACAAAAGTATATGTTTTTGTTTAAAGGACTGAGAAATTTTAAAGAAAGCGATGAATTTTAGGTTATTTAAATCTCAGAACCAGCATGTGTCAAGGGTTTTTCCATGTATAAGGATTTGGGTCTGGGTTAGTGTTAAGGGTTTTTGGTAACTATACTAGCTAAAATATGGTTTTTATATGTGTCTTAATTTAAATCATTTCTTGCAATAAAAGGATTGTTGTCCAAATTTTGAAAGTTATGTTTTCTTACAGTAACGGAGAAGCCATTTATTTAGACACCATGATGAACCGATGCAGCACCACTCACTGTGAGACATTTGATAATGACCCTCTGTGTACAGAGCAGGACTTCAGGTAAGATAGTCACGAAATTATGTATAAAATATTTTAAAAATCTGGTACAATGTCATTAGAATAAATATGGTTATAAAAACCTGTTGTTTTTTTTTTTTAAATTTTATTTTACTTAAAAATTGCATACGTTTTTAGTACAATTTATGATATTTTTATGAAGTGGGGTTTGACAATATCAATCACGGAGTTCCTGTACAGCCAATTAATGTTTGTCTTACACAAGTGAAACTTTGTGTTATTACTTAAACTTGATGAAAAAAAATAGAAATATAGCCTTCAATTGAAAATATTATTAAGTTCTCTGGATTTGCAACTTTTATCACATTTATTCTGAAAATACTACATTTCTGAATTATTTTCAAGCTTGGGTTTTTTCTTGCATTTTTTAATGCTGCTTTGATGGCAAAATTTAAAAAAAAATACATTTTTAGCCATGTCAACAATAATAGTCGAACCCAACTCGTCAAACTAGGCCCCCTCCATTTGTTAGGGAATAAAAAAAATAACTAAATAAAGAGGTGGGGGAGGAGGTGACTGGAAGCCTGATTTCTTTCCTTCTTTTATAAAGCTAATAAAATCAACTCAACTGAACTGAGATCTCAGCATGCCACAAACATAATTTTCCAACTCAATACTTGACTTACTCTATGAAGCCTCTCAGAGGCAGAGGACTGCCACTACACCTTTCCAGGGGACTCTGTTTTTGGCAATCTCTTTAGTTAGACTACTTAGGCCCAGCAGCAATGGCTTCTACTTTCACAGTCCTCCTTCAGGATTGTTAAGGCCAGTCCACTTTTCTCTCCCTCAGTAGAATGCCTGCTCTTTCTTCTCTTTCTTTCCCATCTACCAACACTTTCACACACCTAATTTTTTTTTTAAATATATTTTAACAGGTAAATTCTTAACTTGTAAGAATTTTTCTCACCCTAATACACTCAACAGTTGTATGTGTTGTCAAATATGTTTAAGGAAAAAAAAACTTTCCCGTAATATAATCAAATTATTACTTTATTTCATTATTTTTCTTCAATACAGTTGCCAGATAGTTCAAGTTTTTGGATTTGATGATTGAGCTAGGCTACAAATAGTTCTGAGTTCTATATTGCTTACTGCTTGCCTGTGATATCACTCTCTTCATGTCATAGCTTAGTAAATTTTGGCTAAACTAAATTTGACTCAAAGTAGAAACTTGGCAAAACTTTTCCTAAGATCCTTTGGTCACTACCTCACCAACAACTTCACAGTAATGGGTTATTAGTTTTGTGCATATTTATTTTTTTACTGTATCTACTTTATTTTTGTGTAAACCAGTCAAGAATTGCTACTGTGATAGGTGTGCCTTTAGGTTGTAAGTTATTTTTTTAAATATTTTGTTTCATATAAAAAGTTGCTGTTTTTGTTTTGTTTTTTCTTCTCTCAAGAATGTTATTATTTTATGTCACAAGCAAAATTCAACTTACAAATATTTTATAAATACTACAGTTTATTCATTTCAGTAAAACCATTTACAGTTTATTAATTTCAGTAAAACCTTTTACCTTTCACAAACTTTTTAGTAGTTGAAAAAGTTAATTCAATATGTGTGTGCTTATACTTTTCTATACTTTTTCTTGTAAAATTGTTAGGACATAGTGTCAGTATAGTGGATAGTTTTTGTTTTACTTCCCTTATTAATCACAACAAGCAAAGCTAATTGTTGAGCAATTATTTTTAGAATGCTATCAGCTCAAATATTTGTCTTTCATTTGCTTATTAATTAAATATGGGTACAAGTACTGTAACTCATTAGTTTAAATAAAAATAATTACATTACATAAGTATTTGTTAATATAATAATTTCTAGACTTTATTTAGGAGCTTAATTTTTTTTTACGTTTGGTTTATCTTTAAAAGTAATCTTAATGTATTCAAATTTGATCATCATCTGTTTTTGTCAAAAAATGTTTTAAAAGTTGTATCTTATTCATTTTGGAAACATTTTAAAAAGTATTGGTTTAAAAAAAGTTTGAAAAGCAATGTAATTTTCATAGTCATTTTTCACTCTAACCTATGTTTTGATGATGTAAATATTTTGATTGTTAAAGTAGGAGTAGTTTGGTGTCAGAGCTGTAAATTTGTCTGTCAAGAGTTGTCTCGACTTACAGCTGTGTTCACTCCCTTGGCTGTGGTTTATTTATTATTTAGTTATCTAGTCTAGTTCAGGTGAAACTATGTTTATGTGCAATTTGATAATAAGACATGACATTGCTGAATCGCTCTTAAATGTACAAGCTTTTCATTGGGTCAGATATTCACTTTATTTTTAGTATTTTCTCTATACCGTATTAATAAATTAGGCCTTTTCTTAAAAAACAAATCAAATTATTAGTAATGGTTAAGTACATGTACACAGTTGTAATAGGTACTAAATTTAGTTAATAAACTATATTTTGCTGTATATTTGTTTACATGCCAACCTTACTTTTTCTTAATCTGACAAGTTACAGCTCTATAAAAAGTGTAGCTTTTTGTTCTAAAATTAATTGAAATGAGAAAACAATAATTCAAACAGTACTGGATCACCAATAGAGTTACTTCCTCTTTGTTGTTTTACGACTGAGGCTGATAGGGGTTTTTACCCATGTTGTTACATACTAGGCCTTGTATATAATTAAATATGAAGTTGGTTATGAAATGATAAGTTTTAATACAGCCAGACTTTGGTGAACAAATTATTAAAATTGCCTTTTTTTAGCCATATTACCATCTTTTTTTTTTACTAAAAAATTACATGCTGCTAAAATATTGTTTCTTTTCTTTTTAACAATTCATATTTTATAGTTACAATTTTTTTTTTTGTTTATAATCAAGATGCTTCATAACAAACTTTGTAAGCTGTTGAAGTAATTTATTCTATAATATTTTTTTTTGTTATGATAATACAATTCTTATCTTCTAATACTGTTTACTATGCATAATAATTGAGTGAAATTTCAGATGAATTCTTTTTTAACATAACTTGAAATCATAGTGTACTGCAGTTTTTGTTAATTTTATTTGTTGATATTCATAAATTTTCAGATTGTTGATGTTTGGCTTTTTATTAGTAATCCACTGTTAAACAATGTTTCCTGTAAATTGTTTAAAAGCGTTTTCATTGAGAAACCAATTGGCCATGTTAAGCAGGCCACCTTAGTACAATATTTTTTTAGTTTCCCTTCCCATCAATAGCAGTATTTACAAACATTTCAGTGTTCATGTATTGAATTTATAAGCACATTTTATAATATTTTATATATGTGTTAGTGTAAAGTTTTATATTAAACATAGAATAGATACAACAGTGTATACTTATAACAATAATATTTTACTACATTTGTGCAATAGTGGATTCACTTACAAAAATACTCTACTTAAATTGTTTTGTACAAATCTGTTCTTATTTTTATGTAATAATATTTAATTATTATTTTTCTTCTAACAATGTAATAATACATAACGACATTAGCAAATTTAGTTAACTGGAAGTTAATAAAGTAGTCAGGACAAGAATGTAGCTTTAACACATATTAATTTGGATTTTTTTTTATAGCTGCTTTGTATTTTCATTTCTGAGCTTTAACAAAAAATCAGTAAATTAAAAAGATCAAATATTCATTTTTTACAAACCAAAATTACAGAATCTTCTTGCTTGTATAAAAAACAATGGCCAAAGTAGTTAATTGTTGAGGTGGTCTGAAATGTTTAAATCATACCTTTAATAATTCATAAAATGTAATGCCCTGAGTAACTCATTTTACTATACTTTATTTTTGGTAATAAACAAAAAGTAGGATTGAGTGAGTGTGTGTGTGTGTACCATTACCTTAAACCACATGATTTATTTGTGAACCACTTTAAAGTTGGTAACAAAATAAAGTTACAAAGCCCTCTCATCAAATTAATTTGTTAACATTTTGTTTTTGGTTTATGAGTATTTTCCTTTTTAACTTTTTTGCACTATAAATTCTACATAATTTTTTTTAAGTTAATTAGAAAATGAAAACTAAATGTTAGATAAAAGCAGATAGTTAAAACTTTAGTTTTAGTTTCACACAAATGAAACAATTTTACGCATATTGCAGTCAAATCATACTTACCTATTACAACTATTTAGGCTGATGAAATAATACTAGCCTTTTTTAAGGAAGATCAATTTTCTGCATTAAAGGACCGTTTTAGTGTATATATACAAAAAATGCAATAACTACTTAAAAGTATAGTGTAATTATTCAATTTTGGCTATATATATATATATATTATAAATTGTGATTTTGAAGTTTTTTTTTATCATTTTCCAATTTGACTTGCCATAAAAACTTACTTGAGAAAATACTTTTTTTTATAGTTTTTTATTAATTTTTTAAAAGGTAAATATTTAAACCTTAGATATTTGCACACTATCCTACCAGTTATTTTCTCTTTAGAAAAAGCTGGTCTTAAATGTATTCAACTCTGTGATTTGATTTCTCTTAAGATGCCAATCTCTGTTCTTTTTTTGTGTAAACACAGCTTTGGATTGTATTTGTTAGTTGACGATTATAAATTTCTTGCAATCACTTTTTAATAAATTAATGCTATAGCGTTTTTATTTCTGTGGAAAATGGTAGTGTGTATATTAAGGGTTTCCTTCTAGTTTTTAATAACCAAAACATTAATATTGCTTAAAATGCATTTGGAAGTAGTACAAAATGGATATTAAAAAAAAAATGTAAAGTTTTGGTTGATGCCTAGCTAAAATTCTAGTTAAAAGAATTTTAATTATGCCAATGCTTGTGACACCAGTAAAACAAAACTGCTGTAATGAAATGTTTAGTTTCATGTTAGTTACTTCCCTTGCTTCTCTGTGAATATTCTCTGTGTATTTATTGATCCCTCAGTACAGCTTCAATGCATGCAACTAGACTTATTATTTTTCATTATAGTGCTCTATGTATTTAATATAATCTACTGTTGATACTGGTGCTTATATCTCACTTAACTTATTTTCTTTAGGATTCCAAAGATGTCTTTAACTGTTTTTTGTGTACTTAACTTACTGTTAACTTTAACTGAAATTTATTTTCAACTCCCATTGGTATTTTAAAAAGTTAGATCAATTTCACTACTAAATGTTGGTATGTGAATGTTAATTGACAAACACTATCCTTTTCTACTGTTAATGAACCCCTATCTAAAAACTTACTAATATACAACTACCAATCAAACATCCACTTTAAATTATTTTAAAAATTATAAACTATTTTATTGTAATTAAAAATACTTTTTTTTTAATATTTATCTTGGGACCAATTAAAACTGAAACATTGGTGATTCTCTTTTGGATATATCTTGAGATATGAGTTTATAGATCTGTATGTTTGTTGTAGTGTGTGTGCTGTGCATTGAATTGTTGTAAAAATCTCTTCATAATATTAGCAAATGAAAGCAGATGTGTATGCCAGTTTGTATTTATTTAGGGGTAGCTTTCTTAGGTCTGTTGAGCATAGTGCTACTTTATGTTAAATGTATTACATAATGAATTACTAATCTGGAGCATTAGCATTATTGTATTTACTATTCTGTTGAACAATAGGTTTGTTTTGCTTTTTTATTGATTTATTTTGTAAACAAATAAAATGGTAAAGTGGACAAACACATATTAGAGTTTTAATCTTTTTTTGTGTGTATGTGTTTTGTGTGTGTCTAAAAATAGATAACAGTTTAGTCGAATAAAAGTATTACTTGTTCTACATCCAGTAAGAAACAGCAATGAAGGGCTATCCTTTTTGTTCCTTAATTTAATAATAAAATATAGTTTTGAGGAACACAAATGTAGAGTTAATTCTATTGTGATTTTAATATATGTAATAAAAAAAAAAGAATGCAAAAATAAGTAAAAAAAACTATGTATGCTATACATAAAAAGTTTAAAACAACTGATAAAAAGTATTAGTGGGGGAAAATGGAAAACATTCTGACACCCCCCAGGAGTGAGAGGTCATTTATGGATGGCCTCTAAAAATATTTAGTCAATCTGAGATGAAACCATTGTGTAAACAGATGTGAGGCGTGTTGATACAGAAATGTCCACGTAATAGCTAGACATCTAGTTAATACTGTGAGCGCTAGTACTAGGCATGTTGATACAGTAACGTCCACTCAATAGCTAGACGTCAAGTTAATACTGTGAGCGCTAGTACTAGGCAGGTTGATACAGTAATAGCCAGTCAATAGCTAGACGGCAAGTTAATACTGTGATTGCTAGTACTAGGCATGTTGATACAGAAATGTACACTCAATAGCTAGACGTCAAGTTAATACTGTGAGCGCTAGTACTAGAAAGGAGTAGACTGGGCCTGAAGATGATACTGATGTTAACAGCAAGGTGGGACACTACATGAGATGACATGGAAACCTGCTACAAGGTCTGAAGATGATACTGATGTTAACAGCAAGGTGTTATTTTCTTATTTAAAAGCTCTTTGCTATAAAGGCTTTTTAATTTGTTTTATTTCATGAATTAAACTCAAAATAACCACATTAAAATTAGATATTTAAATAACAGCGTATGTCGACTTTGCTCGCATAGTCCGCTGTAGCGAGTTTAGGGTTAGGGTTACATGAAATGGCAGAAGAGGTGGTTTGTGTTATGGAAACACGTGCAGCGGAAAAGTGTCAGTTAAGTTGTGTCAAAGTAATATAATGAGAACTACTCTTTTCTCGCGTATTTTTATCTTTCAGATATAAAATAGTCATCCACATCAATTCTCCTTTTGAAACATTTTGGCAACATAAATAGTAAATAGAAAAAAGAAAGAATAGACGGCGCAAAACCTTTTCGCCTTTTTTGTTGGAAAAAGACGATCGGCGAAAGCACAGTTTTTTTTCGTTCGGATATTTTTTCCGGTAAAGGAAAAAGATGAGCTGTGTAAAAAGAAAAATAACATAGAAAGTTACATCTCTGCTAGAGATAACCCTATATAATATATATAATGTGTAGTCCAGATATATCTATATTATACAATCTCTTCCTAAATATTAGTAAAGGTATCCAAGAGATACTAATGTGACCCACGCTTTTCTTTAAAGTCATTTAAATGGTAGTGTATAATTTATTTTCTACTTTTTAGTGTTTTATTACATAAAAGCTGTTATCAAAACGTTTTTTATGAATTTTTTTTATTTTGCAAAAGTGTGATGTCACACCATCTGACCCCACCCCTCCCCCTCATCACACACCGACACAAAATTACGGACCCCCACCCCCTCCCCCCTACGAGTGTGACTTCAATTATGAACGACCCCTTATGCATTATTCTCTACCACTTTTACTTTTTCAGTGTATATTTGGATATAGATCTAAATCTAAAATAAATAGCTAAGGTGCTGAATGAAATAAATTTGGTTTTCAATGCATTTACCATTACCTGGCATATTCGAAGGGCTAAGGGTAGATAACTCTAACAATTTTAATAAACTGTAGTTTAGAGCATACCTACAAACTAGATTTACGCATAGTACTAGATCTATTTATTGCAACCATCTGGTTCAAAATATTTTTGTCAAATAATTACAATAATTTAATTGAACATGAACAACAAATTCGAAGCGTATGTATTATGTTGTGAAATTTCTAGTTATCTGCATTTGAATATTTTATTAGTTGATTTACTAGACAATAGACATTTAGAACGAGAGTTTACTTCTTTAGAGTTAGTTTAGACTTAGCTTAGATTCTAGATCTAGACTACTTTCTAACTTACTTGTAACTTTAGAGATCTAGCCTAGATCTAGAATCTAGATTCAAGAATCATTCATTGATCAAGATTCTACTTCAAAACAATAGTAAAGTAAACATAAAAGTATTAAAATTAGGCCCTACTAAATTTCTAGGTTAAGAATTTCTTAATTAAGAATTATTCCGGAATGGTTTTGTATTTTGTAAGTTTTTTTTTCTGTGGGTTTTTTTTTAAATACATTAAAATTAATTCGGCTACTAGATTTGACTTTATTATATATAAATTATAGGCCCAGGCCTATCATCATATTATTATTAAATTATATCTACTAGCCTAAATGTTTCTGCACATTGTTTTTATTTCATTTTTGTTATGTTGATTAAACATATTTCAACTGTCTAATAAACTATGATGGTTTACACTAGTTTACAGTAGGCCCTAACTAAATTTACAAAACTCAACAAACATTACCAGATAATTACCGAAGCTTTATCGTGAGATTACGTGCCTGCATGGTTCTTAATATTTCTATAATATTTTGGCTTATTATTATGACTAATTAGCCTACTATTACTAATTGGGCCTAATATTAGTAGTATTAGTCTACCATCATTAACTAACTGAACTAACTCAATAGAATAGTGAGGGTTATCTTCAAGGTCTTGACAGGAGTATACACAAGTCATTACTACAACACTTATTCCTTGACTGCACCCACATCCACCATTACACACCTCCTCCTTACTCACTCCCCCTCACAAAACACTTCAGTCACTCGACCTGTCGCTTCCCTTGTAACACTCATTCACTCTGTACAACAACATACACATGAACAAATTTAGACTCAACACTGTCTCACAATACAATAGCAAGGTTGTACATGCACATACATACACTGTGTAATCAATTCCACATACACACTTTTCATACATTTCCCATCACCAACGGAAGTTGAGGCAATATTCAATATGCTAGCAACTTTATTGGATTCAAAAAATGAATTATTTTATATTTTTTAATCTGTATGCCCTAATACTTTATAATTTATAAACTTAAGAAATGCATAAACAGTAATATTAAAATTTTCTTATGGGGGCCTCAACAAATGATTAGATCAACATAAGATCATTGATTATTTTAATTTAATTTAATAAGCAAATTTAAAACATTAGACCTACTTGCTTCAATATAATTTCATTGGCTTTTTTAAGAATGATATCATCATAAAATGGAGAAGCTTTCATAAAATTATATATAAATGTATACTAGCTATGTTGTGGGTAAATGGAACCTCTTTAAAGTCACTAGGAAATGACATTTTTGTGTTTTGAATCAAGTTTTTGTTTTTGTTTGAAAATAAATAGCACATTTCAGAATTTCAGATGAGTGACCTGGTCTAGAATCTGCATCACTTTGCTATATCCATTTTTGTTGTTGTAATGTTTGTGTAGGGTTTTAGTAATCTTGTGTTTTTACTTTTTTAGCTTTTTTTTTTTACATTTGTTCTAGATTATCTGCTCCAGTCTTTAGTTTGTGGTTTTCATTAAACTTTAGTTACCTATTCCCTCCTCCTGCAGTTTGAACTACCCTGCTTATCACATCTTCCCCCCTCCAATTGACATTAGACTTTATTGACTTATGCTTGCTTTTTTTTTAATTACATATGTTTATTGTTGTTGTTTTTTTTTGTCTTTTGTTATTGCGATTTTTTTTTTTTACTAAAATATTAACTGAGCTGGGTCTGTATAGTCTATCAAAAAGGTTGGGTAAGCTCTACCATAATAATTTCTAATTATTTCTATCTTTCTTTTAACTGTTTTTGTTTCAGGCCTTGCTTCTGTCATTAAAACCTTTGCATGCAAACTTGGTTGTTTTTTTTTTTAACATTTAATATCCTATTAAACAAAGAATCATGAAAAGTCCTGCATGGGTCAGGTGAAGTAGAGTTCATCTGATTCATTGACTTTGGCATATGAAGGGATAGAGTCAGCACTATGCCCAGCCGCCTCTGTTTTCCTAACGTAAGTTACTTATTTAGGTACCCATCAGAGCTGGGTGGACTTGGGGGCGTTCCACTAATATGAACCCCGGATTTAAACTTGAGACTCTCGGGTTAGCAGTCTAGCTCTCTACCGCTAGGCCAGCCCCATTTCATCACTATTGAGTACTTTCAAAATGCTGCAATTATTGTAGATGTGCTTATGTGAGAAATACGTAACACAAATCAAAGGCAAAATTTAGTTAAAGGGGATAACCAAAGAACTCCTAAACACAAAGAGGAGTTGTGTGGAAAGGGAATCAATGATTTTTCAGATTTTAACATTAGTGTTTTTCTTTTTTATGCTTGTTGTCCAATTGGCTTTGCTGCTTGTGATTCTAATAATTGCTATAAATTCATATAATTATTACTGACAGTATTATAAAAAAAACTAATAGGGATTAATAGGAAGAGTCAAATGTAACACCTCTAACATTTTACTTCTACTGCCTATTCATAAACTTGACACTTACTTTCAGTTTGAATATAATTATAATAAAAGTAGTAACAAAAATTTCAATGCTAATAATCTATGTCATGTAAAACCACATTTCTTACCTTTAACCTGATTCTTTGATTCTAGTAGTGTACTATTAAATTAATTAAGTAAATAAATTGCATTTGTCTGTTAGTGTCAGCATCTTATTGGTTTGTTATTTTGGTACTTTTGTGCTAAGGCGTATCAGACATCCAAATGTGTCTGGATATATTTTCTACATGAAAAAAAAACATAGTTCCCCTACACTATGAAACTGAAAACACTAAAATGGTTTACTGGTACCTCTTAGTGTAAAAGTTATGAAAAGTAACATTATTTTTAATCTTGTGTTTTTGTAGTAACATGCATAACTACTCTTTTACAATTAATTTACATATGGAGTATTATCAATATTCTGCTACACTTGAGGCAGCAATTGTGTGTCTTTTATTGACTGTTTGATGTCCTTTTGTTTGTCTTATATTATAGTCAATCAACACAAAAGAATCTGAGCCAAGAAATGGAGAGGTAACCTGGGAGGATATTGTTTGTCTTTTTTTCTTTTCCATTCCATGACATGTCTTGAGTAGAGTCCGTTTGTCTATGTCAATTGTAGCGTGTAGGTATGGCTAGGCTAACAACAGATTTAGTAAGTTACAGCTACAAAAATATTTTCAACTGTTTTTATTTTGTAAATAGGATTTTAAAAATATATTTTAACAAAAGCTAGTAATTTTTTGCTGTTTATTTTCCCAAGTAGAATTATCTTGTACACATTTTCTATTAGTTTATGAAGGGTTTAAGAAATGATGAAGTCTTGAGGAATTGAATATTATCTAGTGTTCATCTTGTAGAGGTTAAGCAGTAACGAGCTGGTTTTTAGCTGTTCTTTACTCTTCAGATTGAAAGCTGAAGACAGTGGAGATGAAGAAGAGGAGCCCTTCAGACCAGCCCCTGTAAGTTGTTTAATTCATTCTTTCTAACTTATAAACAGTTGGGTGTTGTTATTTTTTTTTGGACATTGTTAAATATAAATAAAACAATAAGCACTTTCATTAGTATTTATAGACAGCTGCTTGAAGATATAATTTTTATTTTCAGAAACCTGGAGAAGGTGAGCACCCTTTACAATACAATTATGCAATTTGGTTTTCTCGGCGGTCACAATCAAACAAGACTGTAAGATATGATCAAAACCTCAAATTCATTGCATCCTTTGCTTCTGTAAGTATCTGCTTTTCTCAGTTTTCTTAGATATTATTTTCCCTTGGTCTTTACATTACCTGGTAGTGAAGGGTACAAAAAACATTTTCTGGCTACCTCTGTTAATAATAACACATTTTTACAGTTTATATTATCTTTTTTTTGTTTTAAAAATAGGTTGAAATTTTATTTGTATATGAAACTTTTAAAAATATATTTTTTAAAATGTCTTTCAATAAGAATGTATATCCTTTATGTGTATATACAATACAAAAAATTGAGATGGTGACATTAATTATTTTCCTAAGGTGGAACAGTTCTGGAATATTTACAGTTATATCACCAGGCCAAGTGATATGACAGGGCATGTTGATTACCATTTATTCAAAGAAGGCATTCGTCCTATGTGGGAGGTAAGACTAGCTTATTGTTTACCTTAGTTACTTCCATGATTTTATCAAATTGGATTACTCTACTTTAAATTTGTATCAAGTTTTCTTAGAATTATGTTTGTATCAAGTTTTCTTAGAATTATTCGTGTTTGCTGCTCTAACCATCTTTGAAAGTTCACTTATATTTTCTACCATAATTAGAACAGTTATGTTTTTTGTTTACTAACAGGATGAAGCAAATAAACATGGTGGAAAGTGGATTATCCGCTTAAAGAAAGGGCTGGCATCTCGTTGCTGGGAGAACCTTATAATGGCAATGTTAGGAGAACAGTTCATGGTTGGTGAAGAAATCTGTGGTGCAGTCATCTCTATCAGATACCAGGTTACGTTTAGTTTTCTTCTGTTCTATATCTTACACTGTAAAAGGCTCATGTTATAGTACATTTTATGCATTTTAAAAACTTTATATCCTGTAAAACATTTCCCTTCAACCTTATTAAATGCAACAAAATATTATAAAAAATATTTATAGAGATAAACATTGATTAGGTTCTGGATTGAACATTATCATTTTCTCTGAATTGCTTTAACTTGTAGTTATTTGCTCAAAACCACTATTTGTTGACCTTGAAAAATCAGATTTCTTATTGTTTTTTTTTTCAAGTCACTGTAAAGATATTACACAGGACAAATTATTGATCTGAAAAAAGGAATCTTTTTTTATAAACTCAAAAAAAAAAATTCTGCTTCTGTTTTCTAGGATGATATTTTGTCCCTGTGGAACCGAAGCAATGACCAGTCGGTGACGACACGGATCAGGGATATACTACAGCGTGTTTTAAACCTCCCACCCAACACAATCATGGAATACAAGGCACACACAGAGAGTATGAAGTAAGGCAACATTTCTCTCATTAAACTGATATAGCCAGAAATGTATATTTTTAAAATTCTATCTTGGTGTACATCATCTAAGTACGACATGCATTTTCTAAAATCTTTCTAACACTTCTTTGTTTTTTTTTCTTTTTTTACATATTTTGCTTGTCTTTCAAAAAAGATTGTACATAAAACATTAGTCAAACTCAGAGGTAACTATGACAAAGTTTAATTTTCTATAACCAGACGAACATTAGATATTTTCATACCTAAGCCATAAATAGCAACAATTTTTATCAGTTTAAATACAGTTTTTAACTTATTGAACGCTGCAACAACTTGATGACTTTAAATTTTGAACTCTTCTGTTTCAGAGACAACACAAGTTTTAGAAACACAGATCTATTTGTCAGATAGCAGACCATGTTTTGAACTTCAGATGCCACCGCTAACCCCATCAGCAGCAATACCAACCTTTGAATTTTTAGCCTTTTAACACATTGAAACTGTACATTAATTTTAATTATATTGACAACTGATATTAAAAAGGGGTATATGTTAAAATTGAAATTTATCTATGTAAATTAATCTATAGCTGTTATGAATTACTTCAGGCTAATAGGAACGTACACCAATTTTAAAGTTGTTTATTTTTAAAATACCATGCAATAAGTTTAGTGGATTTTTTTCTTCAGTGCTTTGGCAATATATTTTGAACGTGATGTTTTAATTCCAGCTATTAAAATTTATCTTCCTAATTATTTTTAAGCATTTGTTTTTTTGGTTATTTTTTTACTTTGAGGAGAGATTAAAAACTTTGAACAGTTTTTCTGTGAAATTATGAGCTGCCTGATAAAACAGGATACTCCAGTTCTTTTTTCATAGTTTCTGGGAGACCTGGTGTAAATAAAAAATATAAAAATTAATTATTTACATTGGTTACGTTTTTTTTAAAATGGTTTTTAATACAATTATAAATACAAATTAGTATATTTTTTTTGGAGCTAATATGTAAAGAAATGTCTTTGATATTAATGGGATTGTGAGTTACGGCAAGGCAATCAGAAAACTTGGGATAATACTAATTAATAAACCTTATAAAACAATTACAGCTAATAAATTTGTTTAATCTACATTGTTAAGTTGTAGGCCTAGTTAAATAAAATAGAAGAGTTTGTAGGAAAACAGCTAAAAAGAAATAAGCGCTCACTGATTAAGACTTAATTTTACAATATGTGTATGCAACTCAAGGAAATTTTTATACGATAAAATGGAAGCCTTTGTTAATTGTGTATGCTACTAATTAAATTAATACAGTGGGAACATTTGAAAGATTTACCAAGAGAAGCGAAGCAGGTCTGCTTGTCCAGTATCAGCTTGAGAACAGTGCTCTCTAGCTGTGCCTCAACCTCCGAGTAATACAAGGCTTTGTCTGCCTGAACTTTGATCCTTTTCAGGGAGTTTAAAGTCTTCTCAAATGGTGGCGCAGTTCCCCCTGCCGAGCGACAGGCGTCAAGTTGGTCTATTTGCTGGCTGACATTGATGACCAAATCATCAACTGTTGGTATAAGATTTGGTATGTTGTGAATCTGACTCAGATTTGGGTTGTTTAGAAAGATATAGCCATTGTCGTACTACATCAAGATACATTTTAACAATGCATTTGGTTCTCCAACAAAGAAAAATCCTATTGCCACTCACTTCGCTATGTAGAACAAATCTACAATTAAAATCATACATTAAATTCTGGTTTGTAGCCTACTTGATCAATTTTCTGTTGTATTTGAAATAACTGGCTTTTTTTTTTTTGTGGAACAGGGGAAGTCACCCTGGTATTTTTATATTTAACAATATGAAATGTGGGTACATATGCTCACATTTTAATTATATGGGGGATGGTCCATTTAGGACGTCACATTAGTTGAACTATTTATATAAACCAACAGCTGGGGCTGAGATTATTTATTTCTAATAATTTTAAGGCTGTTGTTTCCCAGAGGCGTAGCAACGGGGGGGGGGGGTACATATGTCCTCGGGCGCCGACCCTATTGGCGTCAAGATAAGCTCATTTTAGGTGCTATTTTGAATTATGAATATAAAAAATATATGATATGGGGGGGGGGGGCAAATTGAAAGTTTGTCCCCGGGAGGGGTCGCTATACCTCTGTTGTTTCCTTCATCGCTTGTTTGCTACAGTTGCGGACCTACCCATTTAATAGATATCGATGAGCACAAATTAGCCAATAGCCTGCAATTTTAAAGTAGACTATATATATTCATGTTAAATCCAACGTCTGTTGTACATCAAAGCGGGATTAATCCAGATATGTAAATATAAGCGTACTGAACAAAATTTTCTAGGCCTATATGGCCGATTACAGTGTATGTAGGCCTAGTATAAGTGCACCTAAAGGGAATCTGTCAGCAGACACATCACTTGCAGCTGCCCCTGCAAGCAGAAACACGGGGAGTCTATGGGTTTGATTTGAGTGTAAACACTTACTTCTTCTATGCCATGCTGTGAGGTAGATTTTACAAAAAGGGTGACCACTTACTTCTTCTATTTCCTGTCGTAAGGTAGATTTTACATTTAGAGTGACCACTTACTTTTTCTGTGCACTGGCGTATCCTTTCCGTTCGCCTTCCTGAAGGCACTGAAGCACTCTAACAGTGATGTCTCAATATCGCGAACCACTGCTTGGCCCTCGTAGACAGGAACTAACTTTTCCACATGCTTGGTTGATTACAGTAAAAACGCTATTATTATTTATAAGACAAAAGCTACTAATTTAAAAAATCACGTGAGCAGAGTTTCTTCCAGGCATCAACTTCTTCCCTAAGAAAATCTACCGCCCCCCCCCCCCCCCCCGAACGAGATTAATTTTATATAGTAAACATACACTTTTACTAGTGTCCGCCCCCCCCCTTCGAAAAATGTTGACCGCCCCCCCCCCCCCCCCCCCGAACATTTCAAGTGCCCCCCCCCCCCCGGAGATAAAAGTCTGGAAAAAACGCTTCACGGGAGGCAATGGTGGGGGGGGGGGGGGTCTGATGGGGCCACCTCAAACCCACTCTTGGAAGGATCCAAACATCTGATAACATAAGTAGGCTATTAAGAGAAAAAAATGGCGAATTAGAGGTGTGATAAAAATTATTTAACTTTTTTAAATTTGTGGCGTTACATTAAATCGAAATTCCACAATAATGGACAAGTTTTATTTTTTTCGGTCAAATAATCATCGAAACCAAGATAAAGCTACGACTCGTACGAGCTGAATTTGTGCGTAAGTTCGCAACATTGATCCTAACATTTTATAGCCATTTTTTACGGTATTTAAACAATTGAGGTGCCCCACTTTTGCATTATAAAATAGCAATGTTAGAAAACGAACTTTAGCCGTTATTTCACGTTTTAAAAAACTGTTTTAATAAATTGAAATAGGATTTGATTAAAATACTCCAAGTTAACATAGTTCAGACAAGATTTTGGAAAAATATCGTATTTTTGAAAAATTCAGCTGCAATTTTGAAGGGGTTGTAGGCTGAGGGGTGAGGTGTGACGTCAATTTATGGGGGGGGGGGGTCTTGTTTTTTGTGACGGAGGGGAGGGGGTAAACATTGTCAAAATAAAAAGCATGAAGTCATTTATGGATGACCCCTAAGGTCCGCTCGTATAATGTATTGTTATGGTAAATTCTATAGTTCATATTATCAAAGTTTATTAAAAACGAAAACAGCACACACAATAATACATTTTGTTTTAAAATGTTTTTTTAAGTCATGTTTCGGTAAGTACGAGAACCTAAATCAAGCGTGATCATACTAATACACCAAATCAACGTTTCATCCAACGACAGCACAGCGCCCGAGGCTTATTACTAGTGAAACTAACTGCGGGCTATCGATAAGACTGGTAAACAATTCAGCTCCTAATTTATCACTTGACTTCATATAGAAGATTGATGATGTACCAGAAGCGGACATCTATTTTTGGCTGACAGATGGTGAAGTATCTATGTGAAGGGGGCGTTGGGGGAGGAAAATGTCGCGTATATGCCTAATAAGCTAATTAATTTCTTACTTTTCAATACAATCTAGTAAGAATTTATATTAAGACAACATAGCATAGAACCTCTGTCGAAACAGTGCAGAGGCGTTGAGCTGAAATTGGGGGAGGGGATGACAGTTGTATCTATGAGTCTTATTAAATGACGTTACGCCTTGTCAGTTAATTAATGAACACGTCCCTACCAACACCGTAGCAAACTCACCCACCCAAAAGACATTTCACAGTTCCTCTTTGAAGACGTGTCTCTTGAGACATTAATTTGTCTCAAAATGTAACGTGTTTTATATCACATTGACTTGTCAATGTATTACTCATTGAATTAGTTGCATACCACATATACCTAATGATTTAGAAATGTTATTTGTAATCTGTTTGTCGTTTTTTTTTGCTAAAGCTGTTATTTAAAACATGTTGGCAAAGTTATTTTTTAAAATAGCTTACATTTCTATATCTAGCCCTTCCCCACTTTCGACCCCACTTCACACATCGTCAAATGTCAAAACTCCCCTTCCCCTCCCATCCAAATACACGACGGACGCTGGACGATACCAGTCCTGGGTTCGTCGTTTGCTGACCCGGAATTCTCGAGTTCCGACCCCCGGAAGATGAGGCTCATTAGCTGGGGACAGCGACCCAATTAGGAGAGAAAACTCATAAATCAAATCCTTTCAACGTAATGCTTAGCTTTCCTTCGGACAATACTGACCAGAGGCGTCGCGAGGGAGGGGGCGGGGGTGCGGACCGCACCGGGTGACACCCGACCTAGCGACGCCACTGAGACTGACGAAGGCCGAAAGCGGGACCAAGATGCAAGGGCAACACATGATCTCTTCATCTAATGCATTGGTACTTCTCCCTAGGATTCCACTGGGTGCATCCATTGTCTTCCGCGGCAAAACGTGTCATATTTGTTTAGTTACGGCTCCATAAATATTTTTTACCAGACAGAATGCATAAAATTGATTAAAATTTTACCGACTGCAGCGAAAAAGAACCCTACCATATTGATGTCCAATGGCATCTCGTTGATTAAAATTTTACCGACTGTAGCGAAAAAGAACCCTACCATATTGATGTCCAATGGCATCTCGTTGACAGCGAGACTCTCGTCCACAGGCCAGACGTTCTGTGTTTTGTTCCACAGAGAAGCCTCGCAGTCCTTGAGCTTTGCCATCCTTCTCTTTTCTAGGTCAGTCCAGAACTTGCTGATGATTTTCTTCTCCGCTCTAGCGGCGTAATATTCCGGAAGTGGCTGGAATAGAATTCGAACACGAATTTTTTTTTAAATTATTTTACAAATTTTTAAAAGCTTTTTTCTCTACCTTATCGTCTTCTAGTCAGTGGGTCTGTGACCCCCCCCCCCCCCCCACCCGAAGCAAGTCTACCCCCCCCTCCCCGAACGAATTATAAAAATATATTTTATATAAAAATATATACTTTTAAGCCGTGTCCGCCCGCCCCCGCTCCCTCCGGAAAATTTAAGTTCCCCCACCCCCGGAAGTTTCAAATGTGTTCAGCCCCGCGGAGAAAAAATGTCAGAAAGAAACACTGGTTTGTGGTCAAATCTTGTTACTCAATTTTCAAGCATTTCAGTAAATGATAACGTAAAAAACTAATATGCAATCCAATTTAATATATGCCCTACACTTCGTGTGTTTAAAGTATCACACACGAAATGAACTGATCCACTTAAATAATCCAGTTTCATTCATTGCACGTCTCACAAACATCTCAACTCTCTACACGTCTAAAAATAACCTGCTCCCCACCCACAAATTTAAAAAACGAGCCGGCCCGCGGCATAACATACGCCGCTATTTAGTTGTTTTTTCTACTTTTCAGTAATTCATAATTTGTGAATACGACAGTACCAACACTGCCACTGAAAATATTTCTTTAAAACACTATAACCCACCCCCTACGTTTAAAATCGTTTCAAACTAAATTATCTGCCCCGGATTTAGTCGTCACTAAACCCGGCTCTGCTTGTAAACATTAAGAGTGAACACAGCTCACTAAGACCATGTAGGGGTGGGGTGATAGGGAGCGCGTTTACAGCTTGTTTTCTAGCGTCTCCCAGAAGAGAATTATATATATAGATTGTGACCCACAAAAAAAACTACTGCAGTTCAACAGTAAGCCAACTAAAAACTAGCAAGACGCAGCTTTAAACTGTAAGGGTATACCCTCGGTGAGATGCCCGTTCTTTTGATAATTGATTTTAAAATTATTTACCTCATTGTTTATATCACCAAGATCAATCAGGGCTCCTTCATCGAATGGAACATTCTCCTGCTTGCTTCCAGTTTTAGCTTGAAGCACGGCTGTAACCGTTTGTTTGTTTTGAGAAAAACAGTTTTAGACATTTTTATGATGTGGATTTAGCTAGATTTTAAATGGTGGGGGAAAAAATATATATGAATAAAAACAAGTATAAAAATTGTCAAATATTTCTATTTTAGAAGCATACATATAATCTAGAGGAGTCAAACAAAGCTCCACTACGTGAGATTTAAAGTAAGGTTCATTTTCAACCTGGTGGTCCATAGGGCAAGTGAAGTAGAGTTGACCTGTTTCTGTGACCTCGGCATGACGTCGGCATATGAAGAGATAGTGTGGTCAGCACTATGCCCAGCCGCCTTTACTTTCCCTAACGTGAGTTAGGTACCCATCAGAGTTAGGTGGACTCAGGGACGGTCTACTGACTTGAACCCGGATTCAAACTCGAGACTTTCAGGTTATCAGTACAGCTCTCTACCACTAGACCACTCCGAAACTTGAAATTTATAATTTGAAAACATGCTACAAGTTCGCTCATTAGTGACGTCACTCTACCAAGAGGATGATGACTTTTGTGACCATATGTGAGGCGGGGGGGGGGGGGGGATGGGATCAGAAAGTGTGACCTCCCCCCCCCCCCCACTTTTGCATTTTAAAGTACTTGTGTTTTTAATTATTTTTATTAAAATTTGTAAATTAATTTCACACATTTTAAAATAACCTTTGAATTCAAGCAAATATCTGCCCTATTAAGTGAATTTTCATGTTTAGAATCTCTGTTATAAAAAAAATAAAATTCTATTGATGACGTATGACAATATGAAGAAGAGGAAAGGGGGGGATTGTCAAAACAAGCGTAACGTCAATTAAACCAACAACCCCTATTTTAAAAGTTCTAATTGTTAAGTTTTGATTATTTATACAAATGAGTTTACCTTCCACATCAAGTGCCAATGCTATCACTAAACCGCAAACCAACGCTCTAGTCCTTGTGGAGTCCATTGAATCAAGTCACTCTAACACTGGCGCAGATATTAACAGATAACATATTTATCTTCTCCCACTGACAGATATTGAGACCTGTTATTTATCTTCCCCACTACGTGTTTTTAATTAAAGTCTATAAAGTAGTTAATGACATGTTTGTCAGCTTACCTACATCGGATGGGGATAATAAAAGGGGTGGGGAGAATGGAAGGATGTATGGGCGCTTTGAAATGCTGGTGATGGGAATTGTTGTTTTTAACTGGACGTTCAAAAATACGATACAAACACTAGAGAAATCACCCCCCCCCCCCTCAAACATATGTTTAGCTATCATCCACCTTCTGGTGAATTTCCTCACAACAAATTAAAATTGACGTATTTTTTCTTTGTGCTATGCAATAAAAAATTTAGTTATTTCAGATTATACAAATTTCGTATTATATTTTGTGTCGTTACTCACGAGCATGTTAGTTGCTTAAATTATATGAAAAAAAAACACATAAAATATAAGAGAACGCTTATTTCATATAGTTTATTTCTGTGTAACAATCACAACTTAAACAATAGAAAATTCGTGTACTGAGGAATGTTTTACAAAGAGAACACGCCCTTCAATTATGCATGTATAATATACAGCCCAAAAACAATTTTAAAAATTAATCAATGTTTCTTTTCCGTATCTGACACTTGAAGGGCGGGGCTTGTCTGACCAACACCTTCAAGTTATGCTGGGGGTGACACGATTGTAGGGGCTCGGATTCTGGTGGGAGAAGGTCAAACTTTTGTAGAATTCGCGTCAGAAACAGGAAGACACGTGACCTAGCAAATACCTCACCGGGACACATGCGATTTCCGATCCCGAACGCCAGAAGACTGTAAGTTAGAGAAAAACAAAACCATTCAATGGATACGCTAGTTGCCGAGATATAGCATTAACGTCCCGAAATAACAAAGAATGGGCTTACTTTTTCCTGACTGGGTGATCCGCTGGTAGAATTTGACCAGTGGCGTCGAGAAATCGTTCAGGTTTAAATGTCCAAGGGTCTTCCCAATATTTCGGGTCGCGGTGAAAATGGCCGACATTAACCAAGATCTGCAAAGTAGATTCGATAATAATTTTTTAGGGTACCGCATAATTATATATTCTTTCTGCGATCCCCCATCCATTACTATGTCTACAGATCACATGAAATGATTTGGCCTGCTTATCAGCTTCCTACACTGAGACTTTTCAGCAGTTTTCTCTCTTCCGTGTTCAGACTCCAAGCTTCCGTACGTTTAGCTTAAAATCTAACCCCACTCGAGGCATTAGCGTTCTAATTATTGGGTAAGGACTATAGTCCTATGTATGATTTACACCTGCTTGATTCTGTAAAAGGTCAAGGCTGCTTGGCATATTTGCTGACCAGACTATCCTTGCAGGTACCGAGGTCAGAGTAATAACACATTAACTTCAGCGGGTACAGTTTTTATTAGTTGAATCATATATATATATATATATATATATATATATATATATATATATATATATATATATATATATATGGTCATACCAAAGAAACTGCTCACCAGCGTTCCTTGAGGGATGACATAGTTCTCCACGTGAAGATCCTCCTTGGCGTGTCTGACACAAATGAGAGGGAAGAAGGAACTGTACCTGTAGAGATAGAGAATCTTCTGTAGTTTAAACTTGACATTTCTAGTCACAGAGGGATAGAGCTCTAGACTTCATGCCCAGCAGTCACACGAAAACGAGTTCAATTAAATCATCGGATTAGTACAAGAACGCCAGATAGAATAATATACTATTAGATCAAGGTGGGTTCCTAGTCCTAAGTGGTGTGATCTCCAGATTCCGTCAGGATCAGCGTTAGGTTTAATCAGGGTGGGGTTAGAGTCAGGGCTAGGCTTTGGTTCGAGCCAGTGTAGCCAACAGCTATACTAGAAATAAAATAGCATAAAATAGTCCCGCCGGTGTATTAATCGCCAAGCAAATCACCTTAAAACTTCCAGAGTGACCGACTCCGTGTATGGCATCGATGCCCTGTTCTCCACTCGGGGCTTGTCGTGACCGACTACTCGATCAATCTCGGCTTGAATGTTCCTCATCACTTCCGGGTGGTTGAGGAGAATAAGGAAAGCGTTCAAGAGAGTAGCACGCGACGTCAAATGTGCTGAAATAAACATTTAAGTAGATCACGTATTTAGCTTCACTAGAGAGTATGGGAAAACATCAGATTTTGCCCCCCCCCCTCCCCGTCACGTTTACCCCCCCCCCCTCACAGTTTGGAAAGTTCGTGGGTGCTTTTTAGCAGTTACTGTTCCTTAATAGTTTTTATGTTGGTGTTACACAATTGATGTAGAAAACAGTTTATTAGGTCTGAAAAACCAGGGAGGAAATATTCTCTTCAATTTGCCAGTGATACAGCTTGATACGGGCTTTTAAATTATTTTAGTATCTCGTTTACAGTGTTTCTTCCAGACTTTTTTCTCCGGTGGGGGCGGGGGGGGGGGGGCACTTGAAATTTTCGGGGTGGCGGACTAAAATTCCCGGGGGGGGGGGGGGGGGGGACGGGACGACGACACTGTGAAAAGTATATATTTCAATATAAATTTTAAATAAATTCCATTTCGTTCGGGGGGGGGGGGGGGGGGGGTAGACTTTCTAGATGCCTGGAAGAAACTCTGCTCGTTTACAGTGGCGGAACTAGAAAAAAAGGGCCACCCCGCAAAATATTTTTGACGCCCCCCTATATATATATATATATATATATATATATATATATATATATATATATATATATATATATATATATATATATATATATATATATATATATATATATATGTATATATATATATATATATATATATATATATATATATATATATATATATATATATATATATATATATATATATATATATACAAAATACGAACGTAGGATATTCATTTCGGGCCTAATCTAGTTTTAAAAAACACATCGTTTTAAAAAATACATAATACTTTTATTTTCAGTTCAAACAAATTACAACAACATGTCATGTTTTTAGGTACATTAGTCAGTTTTGCAAATCTGTGTGTCACTTTTCATGTCGGCCGTATAGATTCCCATTAGCAAGCCGGTCAAAAGTATATGAAATATGAAAGCTTTGTATGTAGTGTAATGGTTTCTCGTGTTATGTTTATTTTTATGTTTTGTTTAATTTATATTATTAATTTTTGTTTAAAATCCCTTTTATACGATGTCATTCTTTAGTTTGTATTTTATAAAAAATAATAAATAAGAGAAGTAATTGCTTTTCAATTTGCGTAGTACAAAACTATTAAAAGGAGTTTATGGAAACTTCTATCTGACTCTTTAAAAAAAGGGAAATAAGTCATGGAAGTGGTTTGAATGTTTGTTTATCTTGCACATTAAAGCTTAAGTAGATTTTTTTTTCTTTTACGCAGCGTGTGTTAGCTACTGTAGAGGATCACTACTGTAGTAGTTTTTTTTAAATTTTTTTACAAAACTATTATTAAGGTGCACGAAAACGTAATTTCGGAATACAAAGTCATTGCTTGTTGGTCGGATTTTGGGCCCCTAAACGGCCTGGCCCCCCCCCCCCCCCCGCATTGCGGGGTCTGGCGGTATGGTAGTTCCGCCCCTGCTCGTTTACCGTCACCCCCCTCCACCCCAATACTTTCAGTGGGCCCCCGGGGCGGCCGCCCCTTCCGTCCTCCCATCCTCCCCAACCTACACCTTTGAAACGTATGGACTGTTTTTGGCAGTGTTTGGCATTGAAGTAAAATTTTAAAAATACACAACTTTTATTACAAGTAAAAATTGTCTATGGTTACAAAAGATGGCAGACCTGCAAAGAACAACAACGTGAGAACACCTTTGATGTGCTCATCGTCTTTGAGAAATTCATAGCCAGGTACGTGTCGGTGTTGTAGGAAAACATCAGCGATTCCACGAGTTGCGGATGGGTCATAGGTCGCCTTGGATAAAATATTAGTTTCTTTTAAAAGATAGTGAACACCGAAGTGTTAATCAGTACTATCGATATACCGGTTTATGCCTCTGTTTAGATTTAGATTATAAAAATATATTAATCTCACGAGGGTTTTTTTTTTTTTTTTTTTGAGCAATTTTTGTTTTTTTGTGTTAAAATTTTTTAATGAAAATTAAATGTAGCCGTACACATTTTCAGCTTTTTAATTGGCTGCTGTAATGCTAGTAAGTAAATCATCACCATATGCTTAAATTGCATGTAGTCTAAGAATTGTAACATTCTTCTACAAGCCATAACTGGGTGTTTTTCAATGTGTACGAAATGCTTCAGATACCTTCATCTTGGTGAACATGATACTCTCGGCCTTTGCTCGGGTCTCCAGGACTTTTTGACAGGCGGTTCTATACTTGCTGGGGATGAACCGCATCCAGGGCGCCGCCATCAGCACCAGATGAATGTCCTCAGCGGCCAGTTGGTTGACCGCTTGGTCGTACTCGACAATAGCGTCCGCTTCTTCGGGGGAACCTGGTCTTTCGGCATTGATCTTTAAAATGTCCAAATAATTTTATTTTATTTGGTAATAAATGTGTAGGACTACGTGATTTTGAGCATTAGCATGAAATTGTAACCCCTCAAATGTCCGGTATTTTTCATTACTTATAAATTAAAATCACGTTATATTATTTAAGTTAAAGCTACGCACTGTTTGTGATTGGTGCAAGGTTTGACTTAAGAAGTAAGGTAGCCTTCTTTTTTCAGATTTGGAAGGATATGTTTAGGATTGATTTTTTTTTCTTGTTACTTTAGCCTTAACATTATTGTGATCACTACCATAAACTACCTACTAATACTGTTTATCATCATCTTTTCCCGTTCGTAGACCGTCCCAGAGTCCACTCAACTCTGATGGGTACCTAACTCACGTTAGGGAAAGTAAAGGCGGAAGTGCTGACCACACTATCCCTTCATATGCCGAAGTCACAGAAACAAGTGAACTCTACTTCACTTGCCCCATAGACCGTCAGGTTTGAAAGGGAAACTTTTCACTTGGTGTGCAATTCCTTTTTTTTACGAGATTCTATTCTATTATAAAAAGTTTATGGGGTTGAGTTCATCGATTTCAGTGACCTCGGCATATGAATGGATATTGTGATCAGCACTGTGCCCAATACTGTGTATCGTCTTATTCAATAAAAAATATGTAGATTAAATACGTTACTTACCAGAATACAGAGTATATATTTCAAAGCATTGGACAACATGGCGTCCATTTGTACATCTTTTCCAGCAGAACTGAGTTTCTCCAGCTCTACACAGAGGAAGTCAAGCTCCTCACCCACCACCTTCTCAAATCTCTCCACGCCGTCTCCGTACATCGCCACAGCTTTGTGGAAGAGGCGCCTCTTCTTCCGTGTGATCGAATCGTAGCTTGTGAAAAACATATCCTTCCCGTTGTACCAGGTAAACTTGGACACAAAGTTACCGACACGATCGGATGTCAAGTTTCGGAACTTGTCACCTGCCAGCAGAAGTCTGGCAAGTTCCGGCGTGTTGACATGGCAGAACTTGATTCCACCGGAGTTGAAGTAGACGAGTGGGCCGTAGATTGAAGCCCATCTGGCCGCTAGTTCGGGCAGGTCAACTTGCCAGGAAGCTTTCAGCAACTGCCACGTGCAGCTCAAACCACGTGGTCCAGGTGGGACGTTTTTAGTGGAGGATGTGGTGAGTTTGATGATGAAGACGATAGCGCCAGCGAGTACACAGGAGATTAAGGCACACGATGTGTAGCTCAGTTCTAGGACATCCGGCGTCATCTTGAAATGCGCAGTCTGAAGCAAAGTGTTGTGAGTCACATTGGGCATTGAAGGAAAGGGGGCAGAGTGGTTTGAGACATTTTTCTCTGAGGGTAGGGTAGGGGCTCTTGAAACTTTTGTGTGTGTGTGGGCAGAGGCGTAGCTAGGGGAGGGCGGGGAGGGCGGCCGCCCCGGGCGCCGACCCTAGGGGGCGCCAAAAGGGTAGAAAAGAATTAAAAGCTCATTTTAAGATGCAGTTTTGAATTATAAACAGTCAAAATAAAGAAATATAACGGCTGAGAGCCTTTGCATACTGATTTAACTGTTTTCTACCTTGGTTGTGTAACTGTAAAACGTATATCTTTAAGAAACAGTGACCGGAAAAAACGCTTTCCAGCTTTCCTAGATGGGGAGGGGGGGGGGGGCGCTTTTTCGAAGACTAAAATCTGAAAAATTCACACCGGATTAAGGAATAAACCGATATCACCCAGAAAAGAAACCCATTGAACTAAAGCGTATTTTACGATTGTGTAACATAAAAAAGAGTTAGCAGACTGTCGGAGCGGGTGGATGGGAAGCAACACTCTTTGCCAAAATTTTAAGGGAGAAGAAAATTAGTATATTGTACTGATTATTACTTTGTTCAAACTACCTTATAATTCAAAATTGCAATATTGGCATACTATTATAGAAATTGTTCTAAAGATACGACCGAAAGTAGACCAAATAAGGCTTGCACCTTCTACAAAATACACTCTAAAGCAGTGGTTCTTAAATTTTTGGAGTACCGAACACAACCAGTTTCATATGCGCAATCACCGAACCCTCCTTAATAGTTGTATCGTCCACAATGAGAAAATCCGATCGTGAATCCCATGAGTCGGGTGTGTGTGTTGACCTCCGCGGAAGCACTGAGACTGAATTACCGAACCTCTTGGGTTCGATTGAGCCCACTGTTCTAAGCTCTTTTGATTTTCTACTTTTTATTCGTTTCGGCATCTTAAGGGGAAATTAATTGGCGTCCAGTGAAGTTTTAGGGAACGACAATCAGCGTAATTGTTCATTTTTTTTCCAGACTGTCGCACACACAAACACACACGCATATATATATATATATATATATATATATATATATATATATATATATATATATATATATATATATATATATATATATATATATATATATATATATATATATATATATATATATATATGGGGGCGCCAAACTGAAAGTTCGCCCCGGGCGCCGGGAGGGGTCGCTACGCCTCTGTGTGTGTGTGGGGGGGGGGGTCGAAAAATGCAATATGAATAAAAAAAATTCTTCCTGGTTGAAATTGGTGTGGAGTACTTGCTTCGGGGAGATGCCTGAAAGAAATACTGAGAGGGAGCCAGGAGATTTTGGAAAACATGGAGGCTTCGACGAAAGGACAACATCGCTCCCTAGTACTAAGTAAAGATATTTTTATCCATTTTTAAATCTTAATTGGAAATAAGATAGTCCATTAACGACGTCATGCTATTGTTGTGGTCAATTTAACTCCCACTTCATATCATCACAAATCATCACTAAAAGACAGAACACCCTTTAAAATGGCGTCACTAAGTTTCATTTCCCATAGATACAAAACTAATGTGAAAGGGTTTTCTCAATTTAGTTGCCAGTAGCCTGCCTATAAGCAACGGGAAATTTAAAAAAAATGTAAATTTTCTTTAGGCGCATTAAAATCTAGTGTGTGTACAAAGCGAATTAAAAAAAAAATAGGCCACATTATTGACTTCACAATTTCAAACGTGTTGACCTATACTCAACTATACTGTTCTTAGTGCCATTATTCATCCCCGTTTTAAAATATTTTTTTTTAAATCTGTTTAGATTAGTAGGAATATGATTTATTTATTTATTGAAATCCATTCAGTGCTTATATACTTATACGCACAGCCCTAAATTTAAATATAAAAAAAAAAAACTGCCTACCTGTTGTTAATGGCGATACCTTAGGCCTACTACTCTAATTTAAAAAAAACAACAAACATGGGTGTTTACATTCAGTTGAATGCGTACATTCAAGAATAAGGTTCAGTATAAATAGTCGTGTTAAAATATTAGCAATGGCGGTATGGTAAAGGGAGGAGTGGGGATGAGGAGTAACAAACTCGGCCTAGATTTCTGTGTTTGACCTTTAACCTGACCGCTGCTTGTCAATGATCTACACACTACAGTGTAGAGTCTACACACTAGACCCGAGTAGAAATTTGGTTCTTTATTGCCCCATAATGCCGTAGTTCTATGCTTTGTATGCCCTACTTAACAATATGGCGCTTTTACTAATTTTTTTTTTCCAAAATGGAATGGCCTGGATAATCTTACAGTAAAACATAAAGCCGAGAGAAATATGTCTTTGACGATTTTTAACACTCCTGTAAGTCAACAGAAAAGAGAGATCAGGGAAAATGATTTTGAAAAAAATATAGTTTAAAATAATTGGTTAAAAATATTATATTAGGCCTATTTCTATTTTTAGGCTGTCAGTATTATACAATTATATAAACCCGATTTTGACGTTTATTGCGAATCTTTAAAAACACTAAAACCTTAGTCTACAAGGGCAACAACTAGGCCTATTTTAAATTATGCCTGGCGGAGAATTAAAAAGTTGGCTGATGTTTTGAAAACATCAGTACACAAACACAGAATCTGCTTAAAATTTAGTTCTAAATCTAGGCTAAAGATTCTGTATTTAATTTAGATCTCATTATTATTCAAACAAAAAACGGACTTTTATTTTAATTTCAGGTGTAGATCTAGATCTAGATTCTAGAATCTAGCTAAAACTAGACACTAGAAGAAAAAAAAAAAAATCAATGATTCCACTCAAATTCCAGTTTGAGTTCCACTGCTGATGCACTGACACTGAGTAAGTCAGTAACAGTTTAAAGTTTAAAATTATAATAAAATAGTTTAGATCTAGATCTAGATTTCTAGTTTAAATTAAAGTTTAATAGATTCTAGATCTGTAATAGTTTAAACTTTAAAGTTTGAGTTTCATTACTCAATGATTACTCTACTCAAGTCTACTCAGTCATTTCTGTGTTTATATTTTTATAGGCCCCTAATTGTTTGTAGATTCTAGTCCTTATTTAATATTTATTTAGTTTAGTGGCTAACTATTAGTATAAATTATAATTAAATTAACTATTTGTGCGGTTCGCTCCCCGTTACGCTAAATAAATCTTTACCCTAGGTCCTAGGTGGCGTAATTTGATTAGGCTAATTGTAGGCCTAAATGTAATGTAGGCCTATAGGACTAGGTACTAGGTCTATACTATAGCCTACTTTATTTACTATTTAGGCTAATTAATAATTAATTTATAATTTGCTTACTGCAGCTGTCACTATGTTTTCATTTTTAATTATTTTGCTTGTATCACTATCATCATAACTGAACCCTAACATGATTGATCCAAATGATATCAAGAACTAACCACCTTGAAAGGATGATAGGCCTTTATAGCCTGTATAATATAATATAGTATTTTTTTTTACAAAATACTGTAACTTTTATCTATTGGGTCATTTTTTAGCGCAATTTCCATTCTGGAGAATTGCGTTTATTAACTCGTCATTTCTGGGAATGGATGGATGGATGAATGGATGAATGTGTGTCCGGGCTTTAAGTCGTATCTCCTCCTCAACGAAGCAATATCGATGACTAGTTCCAAAAGCAATTATGTTAAGCAAGTTACGAGAATGAGCATAGGCCATTAAAATTCCGGGTTTCTTTCATGTATTTCCCGTAAAAGCCAAAAAACCTCGAAAAAATGCAGTTTTTGGCCCATATCTCGGCAACCAGACCACTTAGCGACTTGAAACATGTACCAATCGATTCCTGCCATAATTTAGAACAATATTGCCGAAGAAAGTTTTCAAAAATATCCTCTGGTTCGGTCACAAATTTTAAAATTACATAAACACCTACAAACCGATCGCTCTTCTAGCTTGAATGCACCCCATCATTATACGTCAGAGCTATTTTTAGATAACATAAGGAAATTGCGCATAAATGTCACTAGACTTTTTTAATTAACTTGCGCGCCTACTGAACGTGATGGCGCAGCCATGGAACGCGATGACGCATCTATTGAACGTGATGACGTGTGTGGTGTGGTTGTATATACATGCCGGAAGTAGAGATCTATCATCTTAATGATTATCATGTTGATAATCAAGTTCAACTAACCAATGGTTTTAATAACCCTGCTCTTGATTTCAAGGTGCTTAGTTTAGTTAGTAGTTAGGTTTATTTAATAAAAAACGTTTTAATAACTAACCAATGGTTTTACTAACCCTGCTCTTGATTTACTCTACGACAGAGCTATTTTTAGATAACATAAGGAAATTGCGCTAAAATTGTCACTAGACTTTTTAATTAACTTGTTTGTAATCATTAGCATGGCAACAGAAGAGAGTGTCTCTAAAGAACCAAGATCATCTACCAAGCGTCGTAGTTTAGAAGAACCTGAAGCATCAAAAAAACACAATGTTGATGGCTTGGAGAATGCCCTCAGATTTATGGTTACATGTATGTAATTTCACTGATCCAATGATAAAATATTGGGTGCTATTTCCCTTAATATTATTGTAGTGTCTGTGGTATTATATTAGAATAACATAATTTGGTCATTTTTTTAAAAATATAAAGTCATAGTACACATTTTTTTTCTGGTGTAAAATAAGGAAATTAACTTTACTTTTATGTATCATTGCATTTTACTTTTAAAAATTTTGTTTAATTAACGTTGAACTTTTTTTTGGTTTTTATTTTTTATTTGTATAGACAATAGCCACTTTTGATGACCATGAAAGCTATCAAGTTCAAGATAACCAAACATTGTATAAACATGCTAGTTAACCCTGCCCTTTAAATTTTAAAGTCTCATGAATCTGATATCCATTTATACGTCTTTGGCCAGAGATTTTAGAACAAATACTCTGACTAGCAAAATAAATCAACTTTTATCTTCCTTATGCTACTGGTTTCATTGTTTTGGGATCATTCCAATTTATAATCATATGCATCTATTGCCATTCATAATATGTAACAAAATATTGTTTTTTGTCTTTTAAAATTTGAATCCATTTTTATTATACAGTGAACCCAAGCACAGTAACAAGGGGTAATATAAAACTGCACTTGGCCATTGATGAAATAGTGAAACATTCACAAGAAGAAGGACTTACGCCAGACCAGATAAAAACACTTGTTGATGTTATCACAAGCCCTAATAAAAACATTTGTGAGTTTTTAAATATTCAAAAACAATTAGTTTCCATGTGTTTTTTGGGCTATATTTTGATAATAAATAATCAACAATATATTTTATTTACCTATTAGTATATTAATTTCATAGTTAATTAAATATTAATAAAATAGATTTAGGCTTTATATTTTGTTTCAATATCCAGTTATTTAAAAAACTACACAAACTTTATTCCAACCAACAATGTTTATTCTTAATATTTTAGCTCAGACTCTGCGCACCAAATTTGTGAAATGTTTACTTCCATCCATGAAAGTGCCACAGTCGGTTGTGGTTCGAGTAATCTCATACATCAGCACAAGAATTTTCAGTACCCCTGGCCCATCAAACCTACATGTAAGCAAACATTACCTACATTCTTTTTATTTATTGAACTTAACATTTAAAAAAAAATTGATTAGAACTCATTTAATGTGATTAATTATGCTTTTATTAATTTTTATGATGTTTGATACATTAACTGTGTTACCGTAGTTACCATTTATGATGTTATATTTATATAGAGCACTTTACTACGATGGATTCTACTCACATTTGACTACCTAGATGGATACGATCAGCTCCATAAAGTTTATGACATTATTTTTCAGTTCGTCAACTCCTATCTCTTGGTATGTTCATATTATAATATAGCAGTTTATTTAGGCTATATCTATCAATGGATAACTAATGTTTGTCTTTTTCATGTTAATATATAAGCTTTATTTTAATAAAATTATTTTTCCTTTACAAATGGTTTAAAAATAATGTATAATTTGAATAATGTTTGCTATGATTACTTATTTTTTACAATATAATGAAAAATTTTTTTTTTCTCACAGCTGCCTCATGCTTGTCACCTACTGTTTCTTTTGACGAGAAAATGCGATGTTAGGCTGTATAAAGTTCATAAGTTATTGGAGCTGACAAACAAAATTGTAAGACCTCTTGAACTTTTGTTCAGTTTCAGTCGTGAAGACTTGTCTGTGATATTTGACTTGACTGAAAGTGAAATATTTTCTTTCAGGGACCTGAGCCGTACCTTGTGGGTTTATTGATGATTTACAAAGTGTTCTGTCCTCACCTAGTCAGCATGAGACTAAGCACTACTCACAAGGTAGACAAAATATATTGGTTTTCATAATGGCGATTTATAAGGCTTTGTTGAATCAATTTCTGGTTTATGTATGTGTTTAACTTAAATAAATGTGTGATTAGATTATCAGTTTACAAACTAATAAACTTTCTCATTTTGCACACTGCCTGTTATGGCTTACATACTTGTCTGTGCAGGTGTACTTCAAAGCTCATGATGTAGTTTGGAGATCGCACATTTCAGCAGTGGTCAATGGGAGACTAGTAGATGACCAGAGATTAGCGGCAGATGTTTCCAATGTCAAAATGAGACGAGAAAAAGAAGCAGCGCCACCTGTGAGCAGTATTAAATTTTTATTATAAATAAGTTACTAGGAACACAATTGATACATAGGTTAACAAACACAGGGTGATAATCTATATATATAATTCTCTTCTTGGAGACGATAGAAAACAAGCTGTGAGCGCGCTCCCTACCACCCCCACCCCTACATGATCTGGTGAGCTGTGGTTCATGCTAAATGTTCACAATCGTAGAGCCTGGTTTAGTGACGACCATTAGGGGAAGATAATTTAGTTTGCAAACGATTTTAAACTTAAGGGAGGTAACTAAGAGGAGTTTACTTTCACGTGGGGGGGGGGGGTTTGGGGAAAGGAAGGGGGGTTATCATCCTTAACGAGCTACTGATAGTGTTTTAAAGCAAATATTTTCAATGGCAGCGTTGTTACTGTCAAATTCACGAATTATGAATTACTGAAAAGTAGAAAATAAAACAACTAAATAGCGGCGTATGATATGCCGCGGGTCGGCTCGTTATCAATATAACTGAACTTTTTAAAACTTGCACTGGGCATAACAAAGTTTTCTTTCATTTTAAATTTAGCGATCAAAGAAACAAAAATTGGTAGTGCCAGGACCTCACTCTGCAGCTGATGAAGTCCAAGAAGAGAAGGACATAGAAGATGAAAATAAGAGTGTCCCTTTTGAACAGATAGAATCATTTACAGACTTTTTAGATGCATTAGAAAAAATTGAGGTGATTATTCATTAGATCTATAATCTATGTGTTTTAAAAAATATTTCATGCTTAGGATAAAATTATTTTTTTTTGGCACTAAAGTAAATGAGATATTTGGAATCAAGTTTTTTACTTATTTTACAAAATAAACATGCACACCAATTTCAGTATCCCAGTCAGATAGCAACAGCTTTAAATGATCGCCGCCTTCAGCTTTTATTGTCGTGTGAACCTGATCGAATAGTGATAACACGCCTCTGTTTTTGGATTCAGCATGTGTTTGCTTTTGGTAATTATTACATAGTTTTCTAACTACCGAAATCATTTCATGCAACTAATCGACTTTCACTATAACAGCCAAATTTAATTTATGTTATTATTTTAAAAATCATCGTGCTAGGTTTTAAAGGAGCAGATAAAGATGGGCTTGAAAGAAATGAGAAATTGCTCCAGATGTTGTTGACATTCTCACAGAATGTTCAGGTAATTTCTTATATTTGAACAGTTATATCCCTTTTAATTATGAAATGTATAGAAATATATTAGTTCATTGCCTTTTAATCACTTCAATTTTTGTGTTCTTTAGGGTCTCCCTATAGTTGAAGGATTTCTTGAGAGTTATCTCCCTACATGGAATGGACAGAGCTATGCACCTTTAATCTTCTCTTTAATTACTTGCATTCGACCCAGCTCTTATCAAGGTAAAGTGTCGGTGATCTCAAAATATTTGGGCAAACATTCATTTGGGTATTTCTCCCAGTCAAGACATTCAAATAAGGGTCTTTCAGGCATAGGGCAATGTTGTAGACTTGTTTAAAGAAGATTGTTGTGTCTGTTAAAATACTTCCAGATTTAGTGCAGCTCTTTCATTTTTCTTCCAGAGTTACATTGTTCCATTCTTGAGCCCCTGCACAGACTGTTTTTCTCATCTGATGTTTACTTTAAGGTTGGTATATTTTGTCTTGTGTGTCTGTTGATTTATCATCTAAGCTATCCATCTTTCTGGATGCTTAACTTTCATTTTCTATTTAACACAATATTAGAGAAAATAGAAATGTCTTGCCAGCTGCAAAAACATTTTCTGTGTTTTTTTACCACCTAATTTTAGTAGTTAAAAAGTATAGATTTAAATGCACCTTTGCTGTTTTATTCAGGGTTAGAGTTCTTCAGTTTTGTTTATGTTGTAAATTACTAACAGATTCATCTTTTTAAACTTCCACAGTCGATGTGTATAACATCATTGACTAAATTAATTCAAAATTTGTCCATGGAGGCGCATCTACAAATTGTTTCTAAAGAAGTCCAACAGAAAGGACCTTCAGTATCAAAACAGTAAATAGACTGTATGGCTGGGCCATACGTTTGTAATTTACATATAAATTTTTTATTTAGTTTTAAAATGTTAACTAATTTAGAACTAAAATCTACTAAAAATTGAATTCCCAGTCTATGGGTTGATTATTAAATATGAGCTTATTTATTGTTGCTGTCACTAGTTCTAAAATTTCTGAATATTTTTCTGTACACGTCATTAGAGAAGCTGGTTTAATTCACTCTAACAATAAAAATTGTAGTGTTAACTATCTACTCTATAAAAACCATCCCATTAATTTACATTGTGACACGTACTTGTGGTACTATACTATCGCCCTTGTTATATGTAAGCTGTTAAAAGAACTGATTTACTGTGTTGCAGATCAGAGATGGAGGAGAGCCGAGAAGACACAAGACCAAGCCCAGACGTCACCAAAGACCATGAAGCTACAGGAGAGGGGAGTGAGAAAGATAAAGTCTTGACTACAATACAGACCATTCTCTTCCAGCTAGTCAGCCTGCTCGATGGCGTCATTGTTGTTGGAATGAGAATGGAAAATGATCATTACCTTCTGCAGAGCACAGCGCTGGATTTAATTTATACGGTACATTTGATGTATTTTCCTTTTTGATATGTTAATATTTTTAAAAACTACTTCCGGGCTGTACATAAATAACAATAACCTCACCCTTTTTAGAATGATATTCATCCCCATTGCAACACATCTTTTAAAATGTTATACTTACAATAACAACAGCATACTTCATCCTAATTCTTGGTCATTTCACAAATGTAATAGTCAGAGTTTGAACTTAGTAACTGAAATGTATAGTTCATGCATTTAACTATGTTATATCATAAATACCTATGAAACTGTTAGAAAACATTTTTTTGTTGTAAAAAAACATATTTCATATTTAATGTTACACATTTTTTCAAATTTACTTAAAACATACAAATAATGATGTGGCATTTGTGGAACGACGATGATAATATCTCAGAATTGCATTGTTCTTATAGCTTATAACAAAACAGCCCTGAAATATTCCTTATATAAATCTAGTATTTCTGAGGACAATAAAACAATTTTTTTTAAAATTCCTGTTTGCATTCATCCAGTGTATCCCCCTGACATTACACAACAAATGTTATAACGTTTTTCTTTTTGAGCAGGTTTCTGTCATTTTCCAAAAGTATTGCATTCCACTGGTGTGTCTTCCTATTCGAATGATTCATCGTCTGCTTTTATCTGATTGTCCAGCCACCTTAGCTCGATTGTGTGGAATAATAAACTCGTAATTACTATTATTTTTAATTAAAATTAATAAAATGCACATATGCTTTATTAATAACTTAAATTTTTGTTTTCCACTTAAAGTATTTTATGTAATTTACAAAATTACTTTGCCTTGAATATGATTCAAGTATTTTTTTTTAATTGATAACTAAAAATTTTGTATTTATGTAAAAAAAAAATAACTTACTTTAAAATTGAATTTATGTTTAAATATTAGTTTGTTTTACACTGAAGTAATAATTATTTTAGATATTTTTTCTGACATGAAAGACAACTGTTTTTAAATATTTTTATCAAATAAGATTCAGAGAGGCATTCACGTCTCTGCGTAACAACAGTGAAAAATGGAACACGACAGCTATAACCTGTGACACTATGGTTGCTACCCAAGTATTTCAGGCAGACACCTTGAGGGCTGAGGGTCGGGGAAAAGACAAGTTCAATGCCCTCTTGCTCGATGCCCTCGGCATGTTATGGCAAGGTGAACTGTTGTTTACATTTAAAATTAGTTTGCATAGTTAACCCAATCATAAACTTTCACTAACAGAAAACAAATTTTAAGGACCAGCTTCATCATCTTTCCCCGTTCGTGCCCAAAACATTGGGCAGATTATATAGAGTTCATCTGTTTCAGGGACCTCAGCTTCGGATAATGTTCTCAGCCTTATGCTAAGTTTATTTGGTTTCACTAACTTAACCCTTTGAGCCCGACAGGCCGGAAAACCAGCTTCAACATTAGGCATATATGTCAGAAAAGCCAGTTTTCATAGTCCTAACCGTCTTATTAAATATAATCAGCAGCAGACAGTATAAAATGGTGCATATGTCTTTTTAGTGTGGGATTATGATTCTAAAAATAGATTTAGGGGAAAGTTTAAAGTAAAAGTGTTTGCATTTCGTAAAATACAAAAAACTGAGCCACAGCTATCGGCTATGCTCATTTTATATACATTGTTATGTTCATACATTGTAAAAAAAATTAAGAATTTCCGAATCTTGCTGAATTGTTATTTGATACTGAGCCTGGATATAAAATGTGGTTTGATTATCTCAAACGGTTCGAAAGTTATAGGCAAAGATAAGTGAAAATCGGTTTGGGCCTGGGAGCTCAGGAACTGGGAGAAATTAGGCCAGGGAGGCCCGGACAAAGGGTTAAGTCAGGTACCCATCAGATCTGGGTGGACTCAGAGATTTCCTACAGGCTAGAATCTAGGTTCTGAACTCATGGATTTTGGGTTAGACGTAAGCTCTACCATTTGACCACGCCATCCACAAGTACTAGTTTACTGCCACATAAACTCAATGAAACAATTTATTTTCAGGACGCCTGTTTGCAGAAAGGAGAAACTTTAAATCCATTTTTCAGTTTAAGCCACCCTCTCATCTGGAGGGGAAGTTAAAAGACAATGCACTAACTATTTACAATGGACCTGCATTTTTAGCGCTGGCGTACAAATTCTTAAAGGAGGTAAAGTTTTCCTTATAAGCTATTAAACTTAAAGAATATTTTGTAAAATGCCCTTTCAAACTTTATGGCCCATTCACTTACTTCAGCATATAAAGGGATAGTTCGGTCAGCACTATGCACAGCCGCCTTAGTTTCCCTAATGTTATTCAGTTACCCATCAAAGCTGGGTAGACCCAGGGAAGTCTTACAGACTTTAGCCCGGGATCCGAACTCGAGCCTTTCAAGTTAGTGGTCTGATGCTTTACCACTTGACTACACCATCCCCTTTCAACAAGTTTAATTTAAACTAAATATAACATATTTTTAAAAAATAACTTATATTTTCTACACCATTCATTATATAATTTGAAAAAGTCAGATCAGTTTTGTTTTTGCATTCTCTATTTTTGGAGGCTTAAACAAGTTCTGACCTGCTGATTTTTTTAGAAACGTTCTTTTACCAATCATACCTGAATTGATCTGTTTTTTTCTGTTACCTGCTTTTGTAAGTTGATTATCTTTTGTTAAATAAGCTGAACTATATAAATGTCTTTTTGGTTTCAGACTCAAGGAGAGGACAAAAAGGTTCATCCACTCCAGATTGAGGTTAGTCTGCTTGTTTGTTGTAGTCTGCTTGTTAGTGTCTGGTTGTTAGTTATAATCTAGTAAGTTAGTTATAGTCTAGGTTTAGTTGTTTATGTATAGTCTGGTTGTAAGTTATACTGTGGCTTGTAGTTATAGTGTAGTTGGTTGTTATAGTCTAGGTTTAGTTATAGTCTGGTTATTAGTAATAATCTTGTTTAACCCTTTGAGCCCGGGCCTCCCTGGCCTAATTTCTCCCATTTCCTGAGCTCCCAGGGCCAAACCAAATTTTCACTTATCTGCTTCCAACTTTGCCTATAACTTTTGAATCGTTTGAGATAATCAAGCCAAATTTGGTATCCAGACTCTGGATCAAACATCAATGCAGCAAGATTCCGAAATTCTTTTTTTTCAATGTTTGAACAGAACAATGTTTCTAAAACGAACACATAATTATTGTTTTGATAGAACATAGAAGAAACCAATTTACAATTAGTAATTAGTAATTGTTTTGTTATTATTGATACCTGGCCATACTAGTTCAACGCCAGAAGTCCACTTTTGTGTGACAACTTTCAAAACAGTTATCACTGCTGGACCCGATGCAAAGAAAAAATTCGCATGTTTTGCATCAGTAAACATTTTTTTTTCGTTTCAGCAAGTTTTTGTCCTTGACACCACGTGCATCAGAACGTACTTGAACAGTTTCATTGTCACTGTCAATTTCAATGGCACTGTGTTCAGTCTCAAATTCAACGTCACTATCATCACAATATAGACTATATAGATTATTATCTTCTTCATCAGAATCAATAAGTAGTTGTATTGCCTGAGATGCAGTCATTCTATTTCTTTTGTTGATATTTCGGTCTTTTGCTTCATCTTTTGCACCAACTTTATATGATGAAGTCGACGGCTGTGGCTCAGCTTTTTGTTTCAGCGGCATTGCTACGAAATGTAAACACTTTCATTTTCACTTATTCCTAAAAATCAATTTTTAATATCATAATCCCGCACTCAAAAGACATATGCGCAGTTTTAGTCAGTCTTCCGCTAATTATATTTAATTAGATGGTATACCAGCCGCAAGGAATATGACGCTAGATCATCGGGCCGGAAAACCGGCTTTTCGGACATATATGCCTAATGTTAAAGCCGGTTTACCGGCCTAGCGGGCTCAAAGGGTTAATACTGTTACAATATTTCTTAATATTATGTATATCATGGTTACGTCCCTTGAGTGTTCACTGTGTTATCCATGATGTGTAGTTGATATGTAAATGTAGTCAGTTAATGAAAGGTAGAGTCAGAGACAGGACGTGTCGTCTGAGCTTTGTGTATATAAGAATAAAGTATTAGAGTTAACTCAAAAAACTGTGTGTAAGTAAGGTAACAAATACAATTTGGTTTTAGTTGAATTGCAACATATTAGCCATTTTTATTTCTAATTTCAACTTCTCTCTTCAGTTAGATAGCATATCATATAAAATTCTGAAAAAAATCCACTATTGCAAATAAAAATATATTTTTTTTACCATTTATACTTTCAGGGTTTCAAGGACACATATTTAGTTTTTTTGGAGAGAGAAAATTTCCCAGAATTCAAACAGTTGGTCAGCCTGAACATCAAGGGCCAGAAGACTTGACCGAGTGGTTGGTGATATGGTGGAGCTAAAGTCTTTATATGTGTGGTTTCAAGTTGGAAGTGAAGCAGACATAATCACAGTTGTTTCACAATAGCTAAAGTCATCATATGTTTGGCTTAAAATAGGGAGTGAAGCAAATAATCACAGATATAATTCTATAGCTAAAATCATTAATTGTGTGGCTATCATGGTAGGAGTACACATAATCACTCATTGCACATTAGCCAAAGTCATGTGTTTGGTTTCATGTTGGTAGTGAACCACATATAATCACAGTTAATTCACAATAGCTAAAGTAATCATATGTTCAGTTTCAAGTTTCTCATTCTCCTGTCCTCTTTTGTTTATTCTAAAGCAGTGGTTCTCAACCTGGGTTTGATCAAACCCCAGGGGTTCAGTGAGTCAGTCTGAGGGGTTTGGTGGAGGTCGACACACCTCACTCAAATGATTCACGATCAGATTTTGTCAGTGATGACGATAGAACTACTAAGAAGGGTTTAGGGAATGTGCATATAAAACTTGTGGGGTTCGGCACCTCCAAAAGGTGAAAAATCACTGCTCTAGAGAGAGCACGAAATGTCTTAGTAGACACCATAGGGAGGTAACAAATGAAAACCTTTGTTACTCAGTTTTTTAGTCCTCAGGGCATGAAAAATGACTAGGTGACATTACCCTGAACATGATAAATACCATGACAGTTTGTACATTCCCAAGTCTTTTAAATGTACATTGTTTCTTGGTACATTAAGTGATTTTATTCTAATTTTAAATTATTAATTCTTTTTTTAAAAATGAACTCCGCTACGTTTCATTTAAAAAAAATATATATTTAAATGTGTGGAATTTAGGTTAGCTACTATGTTGTAACATAATGAATATGTTGTTGTTTGTGCTAAATATGTACACATCAAACGTTTTTATTGGTATTAAATTTGTAGGCTACACTATTTATTGTACCCAATGCTGTTTTTGGTATTTTAATGTACACAATTTATTGTACACAATATTGTAAGCTATACTATAAATGCTAGCACAGTTCATGATATCCCAGTATGGGAAATATGCAAGTAGAATCAATGTCACTTTAACACAGCCTTTTATCTAGTCTCTTCATCATATAATTATGAAGTTTTTTCTTAAAAAGTTAATGTAGCCTGATCTTCAGTTTACACAATTGTGTTGTGCTATTCTTGTGGACATTCATAAATATAACATTGTAACAAAAATATTTTAAAACAAAAAGAGCTTGCTAAAGATAAGTAAATTAACTTTGAATAATTTAAAGACAAAGGAAGTGTTGAAAGTTTGACTAGAGTTAACTACCCTTGCTAGATATTTCTCTGGTTTTGTACTAAACTTTCATTGTTATATTCTGTATATTTTTTTACTGTAAATATTTTGTACTTGTCTATATTTAATTCATGTATATTTATCCCTGCCCTGGTTATAAACATGCCAGAGATTTATACAGTGTTGTCCCATAGTTTATGTTGTTATGAAGATTTATTTAAATGAGAAGTAATTTGCATATTCATGTAAGGATTGACTGTCCTTCAGATATTTAAAAAATATATTGCAATAAAATAAACTTAGAATGTACTGTCAACAGTATGTGTTGATTTCTTTTCTATCCAGCTGGTCAGAATAAACTATTCTTCATCTTCTTTGTTCTTAATTTTTGATGTTGGAAGATATTCCCTCCACTATAATTGAGTATCACTTGTCAACTTGGTATGCACCATATAGGCCGTTGACTACGATTTCAGACTGCTTTTCTTTTTAGATTTGCTTCCATAGCCTTTGTCCAACCAAGAACAAACTACAACGAAGCGGTTGTTTGATTTTAGAGTTGTCTCTCCTGGAATAGTGGCTGTCCCCAGCTATCGAGCCTCATGGCCCTGGGAGGTTCGAACTCTAAATTGTTTAGGTTTAACAACCCTGAGATTTACCGTCTAGACCACACAATGTTCAAAATGTGTTACCTGTCTATTGTTCCTGTCAATACTAAGTCAACAAAGTAATGCCAGATTGTTCCATGTCCATGACTTTAAAAAGTGAAGTGGCACAACCCCTTGTATATGGCCATATGGTTTTGTTTCCTTTTGCCACAATTTTCTTTGGCCAGGGCCACTTGCGTTCTGTTTAAACATTTATTGTATAGAACAAAATTTAACCATCACGTAGCTACATGGAAGACAAACCGCAAATTCTTAATTTCGTAAATCAGTCCCAACCTTCTAAATTACATTTTTTTTAAACTTTTAAAATACGATTTAAAAAAAAATAAATTCTCCACAGCAAAGTAAAACAAAATAAAAACTCAAAACAAACAAACGGAACAAAACGTTGAGCTATTGTTTTTTTTTTCCTTCCCTTCGTGACCCACGTCTGAAAATGGAAACAAAAAGAGCTTTCATTCAGTAGTCGACGCTAAGCCTTAGCCAACAAGTCCAGACCATGTAGTGAATCGAGTATCCCACTAGGTATCGATACCTTTGACTGGGCATCAATCAAATCCTTAAGCCCCGCCCCCGGGGAGAGATTCAAAACTCGGATTTCTGTGATTCCTGCAGATACTTGCTCAATCATCTTCTTGATCTGCCACTAGAGACCACATGGGCGGCACCACGTGTGGTCGGTATGTGGCCCATAACCATCATTTAGGGCTGCTCTTTAATAGTCGTCTGGGCTTCTAGAGGAGAAGGGCCCGGGGGGGGGGGAGGAATAGTGGTAGGGCGATGTGACATCATACAATGTTTTAACCGATTCCCGTTCGTGCCCAAGACAAACGCGGAAGATGAAGTAGAGTTCATCTGTTTCAATAGCATCGGTTTACAGGGTATAGTATACTCATCACTATGCCCGGCCGTCTTGGTTTCCCCAAGGTGGGTCAGGTACCCATCAGAGCTGAGTGGACTCAAGGACGCCCTGCAGATCCTTGCACCGTGGACTAGTAACAAATACATGAATATCTTTTCCAGTGGAGCAACCAAATAAAAACGTATGCAAATAAAACTTAAAACATTTTTTAAAATACTTTATAAAGAATCTATTTACTAAACACGTTGGTCGCAAAAATAAATATGTTAGAAATTTCATAAGTGACCAACACACTTTTACTATTTCTCTGAAGTAAGACAAGTTCATTTTAGTTCTTATTTTTACTACATTTAAAGTTTATTATTATAAAGTTGTTTTTTTTAAAATAGGCCTACTTGAATTTAGAAATGTTCCCGAACAAAAAGGCTATTTGCTGCTGCACCTCGAGTAAAGGGAAACAACTCCATTACACAATAAATGAGATCCCCTGATGATTCCATACTGTAGACATAAGTAAAAGCTTCAATATGGCAGGGAAGGGAATACAAAGTGATGGGGATAGAGGTGGAGGAATCAAGTCAAAGAAAAATATTTAAAAAAAAAACTTCCTATCAATACACATGAATAAACTGGTAGCAACAAATCATCTAGTGTTTTAGGATAATCTTATTAAAAGCGCGCGCCTCCCGATAATCTGCTTGTCAGGTATGGCCATACATCCTGTATGCTGTGTCCAAGTAGCCGCATGACAGGTGTGTGATGTATGTGAATATTATGGGATGACCTCTGTATGATGTATGTGAGTATTATGGGATGATCTCTGTATGATGTATGTGGGTATTATGAGATGACCTCTGTGTGATGAATGTGAGTATTATGGGACGACCTCTGTAAGATGTATGTGAGTATTAAGAGGATACCGCTGTGTGATTATCAAGCGAGTTGTATTAGTTTGTTTTCACAAATCCTTACCACAGATGGGATTAACAATCATCCAGTACAAAATGTAGAGGGTAAAAAAGACAGTCAATGAAACAATGTTTATTTACTGATGAGACAAAAAGACAACAAAAAAAAAAAACAAAAAAAAAAACAACAACGTGGAATTGATTTCATTGTGTTATGAGAAAAATACGAACAGGGTTTGTTCCCGGGTTGGGCAAATGAAACTTCCACTGGAAAAAGGCTAGGCCTCTCTCTTTGTAATACTTCTCAACTTTGTTCGAAATGGGGAGGGGGGTGAGAACCTAGAGCATTGACTCACCATTTTTAAATTATTTAAATTCTCAAGTTTTAAAATAAAATTGAAATGTGACGTTTTTGTATTATGTATAAGTAACCCATTTTCAATGAATGAATGTACATGTGAAAGAAGTATTACTATTGTAAATCTGTACCAGTCCTCACAAGCTGATGATGAAAACTGTAATACAATAGCAAACAACCACAGGCAAGAACTTGTCTGAGGCGGAAAAAATATTCATTTACGCAATTAATTTGACGTAGAAAGCCTTCGGCTACCTACTCATCAATAATACTCAGGCGCTATGGGCATACATCACGTACGGTATGCTAAAGACATTGAGCACGGGAACCCATACATTGAAAACTGTCCTTACAGACCTAAGCGGAACACTGTATATCGATGACGGTCAGAAAGTTTACGAGCCAAGTAAAAAACCGGCATATAAAATTTGTCACCGACCCAAACAAAGGAGAGTAAGGTAGAGGTAAAAAATTTCTTTTAAATACACGGAACAAAACTGGTTGGAGTCAGAGCAGTGTTTCTTCCAGACTTTTTTCTCCGGAAGGCACTTGAAATTTTCGGGGGGGGGGGGGGGGGGCGTTAGACTTTCTTCGGGGGGGGGGGGGGGCGGACACTGTTGAAAATATATATTTTCTATATAAATTATATAAATTTCATTTCGTTCGGGGGAGCGGTAGAATATTTTCGGGGGGGGGGGGATATTTTCCGAAGAGATGTCTGGAAGAAACTCTGAGTCAGAGGCGTAGCGAAGGGGGTGGGTAGATACATATTTCCCCGGGCGCCGACCCTAGGGGCGCCAAAATGGGTTTGAAAAAAATTAAAAGTTAATTTTAGCTGCAGTTTTGAAGTATAAACATAAAAAAATATATATAAATGGGGGGGGGGGGGGGTGGGCGCCAAATTGAAAGCTTGTCCCCGGGCGCCGGGAGGGTCGCTACGCCTCTGGTTAGAGTGTGTGCACTGGTGAGGCAGCAAGATTGTTGGTTTTCTGGTATTCCGGTATCACAGTGGTGACAAAAAGTTTGGAACGCCCTGGTTTGTTGAAGAGAGCAACATAATTCTGAGTTGCACTAAGTCTATGTAGCAGATACGACAGCGATATGAAAGTGGGGTGACAGCCAATAGGCTCACAGATAGACCGTGGTCAATTACCGTGTAGTAACTGACCTCCATCAGATAGTTGTCTCATCACTGAGATAATCCACTGCAAGCAAACTACTTGACTTGACATGATTTAATCCTCTTTACTTCTTTGTAGAGAGTAGGACCTCTACAATAACGCAAGCACACTAAAATGGGAATACTTCTAAGCATAGCCCATATAGGAAGATGGTGAAAATGTAAACAAAAAGTAGGGATAAAATTAAAAACTGTTTAATTTATAAGCAATTGAAAACAATCATCACATAGGTGTTTTAAAATGTTTGTAAAAACATGATACATTATTTTTGGTTCATTTTAGAAGTTCAACTACTTGCGTTTGTACCCGCTTTGTTTCGTTTATTGACATATCTGAAGTAAAATTATTAGTTTAAAAAAAAAGAGATAATTATAGATGGTGTCTTTGGTTAGTTTTCGAATTTCTCAACAGTAGAAAAAATATCATCCTTAAGATAATCTTCAAAATATGGAATTTCTTTTTGCCTCTTTCTTTTTTTTTTAAGAGGGGAGGGGTTGATAGAAACTTATTCGGCCGTAAAATGTACTGGGGATTAGTGTCAAAAAGGATAACATCATAACAGAGTCGCTTCCCTTTTATTTGAATGAGACTATTCAAGGATTTTGTCAGTTGAAGAGGTCGGTTTTTAAAGGGAGACAACCTTTTAGATATTGGAAATGTTTTTAGAGATTGACGGTGAACTCGAAAGTTTAGATTAATTAGAAAATTAATCAACCGACTTTTGTAAATGACATACAAATTGTATAGGCCCTATTTTAAAAATAAATAAATATTGATCTTTTTAATTTAATCAGCTTCAAGGTTTTAAAATTTTTATTTTTAACAAATTACATTTTAAGTTAGGTTTTGGATTATAAAAGCAACCTTTTAAATGTTAACATTATACCAATGAGAATATTTATGGATGAGTACTTGACGTCAAGAAGCTATTTATAGAAGAAGAAATGGTTCGTGGAAAAGGAGTAACTTCTTTTTGATTTACAAACAATACGGAATGGTCTCCCCTTTCGTTTACGCCAGGGAAAAAATAAAAGCTCGCGGTAATGAAACGTGTGCCATGAGCAGAAGATCTGTCGTCTGGAAAGGTCAATTCAAGCAAATTACACGAATCGTGGTGAATCGGATCTGATGCAGATGGATCTGTGCCGGCTCCAAACTCAATCACGTGAGAGAAAGCATTTTTTGGTTTCGTATTCCGGGAGATAGTTTCGTATTTTTTAAATATATTTTTTACAGCGTTGACTTAACATATGAACGAATACACGATGAAAGCGAAAGGTGCACTATTTTTTTTTGTTTTTATTAGATTGTCGGTTTATTTATTTTGTCACGTGACGCTTCACGAGTAAACACAATTTTATCAGCCCGCTTTTACAATGGATTTACCATATTGGCAA